CCCACCCTACCACAACACCCCACCCTACCACAACACCCCACCCTACCACAACACCCCACCCTACAACACCCTACCCTACCACTACACCCCACCCTACCACAACACCCCACCCTACCACAACACCCCACCCTACCACAACACCCCACCCTACAACACCCTACCCTACCACTACACCCCACCCTACCACAACACCCCACCCTACAACACCCCACCCTACAACACCCTACCCTACCACTACACCCCACCCTACCACAACACCCCACCCTACCACAACACCCCACCCTACCACAACACCCCACCCTACAACACCCCACCCTACCACTACACCCCACCCTACCACAACACCCCACCCTACCACAACACCCCACCCTACCACTACACCCCATCCTACCACAACACCCCACCCTACCACAACACCCCACCCTACCACAACACCCCACCCTACCACAACACCCCATCCTACCACAACACCCCACCCCACCCTACCACAACACCCCACCCTACCACAACACCCCACCCTACCACAACACCTCACCCTACCACAACACCCCATCCTACCACAACACCTCACCCTACCACAACACCCCATCCTACCACTACACCCCACCCTACCACAACACCCCACCCTACAACACCCCACCCTACCACAACACCCCACCCTACCACTACACCCCACCCTACCACAACACCCCACCCTACAACACCCCACCCTACCACTACACCCCACCCTACCACAACACCCCACCCTACCACAACACCCCACCCCACCCTACCACAACACCCCACCCTACCACAACACCCCACCCTACCACAACACCTCACCCTACCACAACACCCCATCCTACCACAACACCTCACCCTACCACAACACCCCATCCTACCACAACACCCCACCCTACCACAACACCCCACCCTACTACTAAACCTGCCTTACCACTAAACCCCACCCTACAGCATCACCCAACCCTAACACAACACCCCACCCTACCTCAACATCCCACCCTACAACACCCCACCCTACCACTACACCCCACCCTACCTCAACACCCCCCAATACTGCAACATCCCGCCCTACCCACCAATTCCCCAATTATTATTTGAGGATATGCTGTCCATTACTTAGAGTTCTGTAAATATTCAATAGTTTTGCAACTATCCAAGACAATCATGCCCCAAGAGATTTATTTAGCATATCCCATCTACCCCTCATTCCCATCTACCCCCTCATTCCCATCTACCCCCTCATTCCTCCACCCCCAACACATGCCCCCACCCACACTGTGTGGCCCTTAGAGACGCCTGGCCTCATCGTCAATACTGCATGGGACACACAATGTCCCTCCACCACGGAATGCATATGGCAAGACTAATATTCACACATGTCAATTTTCAGACAGGTAATATAATGGGTTGGTGTGTAACTGACGGAGGTCAAATGAACCCTACTCCGTATATGTACCTTGTGCAAACCTACATCTACCACAGCCTGATATCAAAGCAATGTGTAGAGGAGATCGTGCACATGCACTAGGGCTGGGACAGGTAACTCGGGTACTCTCGTCGGGTGGGTCCTGAGTAGGACCCAGGTACTCACATGAGTACCCGGACCCATGTTTAGTCGCGTGACATACTGTTTAATGACATTAACAATAAAACTCAATGGTTAATCTACAAGTATAGCTAATGTTCACATTTCTTTCCCACTATGCAGGCATTCGTTCTGACTTTTATATGTTCGAGTAAGCATAAAGGGTCTATCAACTGCAGTGTATACATGATCATGTATCTAAATAGTTTTTGCCAGGGTTACGGTAAAACAATTCCCATTCGGGCATTTTGTACCCAACTCTTGAGTGAGTGAGTGAGTGAGTTTGGTTTAACGCCACTTTTAACAGTATTCCAGTCATATAACGGCATGTCAGCTTAATGTGGGAGGAAAGCTCGAAGTGATGCAGGTCTTAGACGTTAACCACTTCGGTGAAACCCACGAGCACGGGTATGGTGCTGACAAACCTAGAAACATAATCGGGGCGAACCTGGATTCGAACCCACAATCATATGTTTCTGGCGTGCCCAAGGGACGCAACTCTGCACAGCGAATCGCGGCGCCTTAGACGACTTGGCCACCCGTGCCCCCCCCCAAACTCTTGAGACCTATAGTGGGTATCCGGGTAGGGCCGGGTAATTGGGTGTCAGGTACCCAGTTAGTAAATTTGGACTCGTCCCAGCCCTAACATGCACCAAAAATATTGATGTCATGTAACTGGTCAAAGGACTCACAGGAACCAGGCCATGGCTTGATACAAGCACACAGCAAAGTGCATATGTTTTTCAAGGTACTGGAGGAACATCTTGTATACACGCTAGGGCTTGGACGTGAAACTCCGGTACTCGAGTCGGGTGGGTCCTGGGTGGACCCGGGTACCCACAATACTACCCGGACCCGTGGTTAGTCACGTGATATATTGTTTAATGACCAAAACTCAGTGGTTACACTTCAAGTCGCCAATGATCGCATTTCTTCACCTAATTATTTTTTACTTATGTATCTTTAAGTAATGATAAAGTGTATGCATGATCTGATCCTTTTGTACAAGTATCTAAATAGTTTTAGCCAGGGCTGCGGTAAAACAATTCCCAATCAGACATTTTGTTCCCAACTCTTGAGACCTACAGTGGGTACCCAGTAGGGTCGGGTAATAGGGGGTTTGGTACCAGGGTAGTACATTTGGACTCGTCCCAGCCCTAATACACACCCATGAAGTATTGACGTTGGTCTGGACTGTTTAAGGTACAATTGTATAAGGTATATTCGTCAGTTTTTGGTATCAGGAGAGCACAGATCTTGCTGAGACATGAACAATAGACATATAAAATGTGTAAACTCTAAAAGACAACCATATATATAAAAACATAACTATGAAAGTTTCATTGTTTAAATGTATCTAAAATACAGGTGGGATTTTTCAAATATTTATCAGTTGATGAATACATAATGCACAATTTCAAAAGACTGACTATTAACTGTTCTTTACATTTCGTACAAAGAATACAGTATTTGACTCAATTGACATCACAGCTGTTATAATTCCAATCTTGTTTCAATTAAATACAACTTTTTTGTCTAATTGTGGTGGCTTTAATTCACAAGCTTCACAAACAACATTTTTGTGATGTGTAGAAGTCTTTTCCTGGCACATTCTGATTATTCTATTTTTAGCAGGTAACCTTTTTGGGACTGAACTTCTGTTTGAGTAATGCTAATCAGGTCAAATACTGTGATACTAAGTACTTGTACTTGTGTTTAAAATATGAATAAATACAGTTTATGGGCTAAAAAAGGCGTTAGTCTTGAAAAAAGTGGTTATGTACATACTGTTTGTGAAAGACAATGTCATGGAAACAGCTATATATTCTATACAATTACCAAAGAAATCATATCTGAAGCAGCATCTTGAAGATTAGAATGTCAGATAAAGAGACAAACTTTCCACAAAGTAAATCATTTTGGTAATATCTCATAAAAAAACAATTGATCAAAGTATCACTTTTAAGACATAAAAATCTTAAACAGATAAAATTATATGTTAAAATCATGTCATCAAATGTTTTATTACAAAGTGGGTAAAAAGTATAAATTCAGTCGAAATCCATCAGTGGAGTCAACCCAAACGGAAAAAACCACATCACCCATCGAACCATTCTCACATTAACACAACAATGCAAGGTGAACATATCCTAGAAGCTGTCGTAAACAGCTGCCAGTGTTTGTCTCCCATGCATCTGTAGTCTGACGATTACATCTGGACCAACAGCTACAAGCCCTTTGCCATGTCTGTCAATACCAGGACTAGTCAGGCATCATGGCTGGGTAATTGAAACCATCACTGATCAAAAAAAGAAAAAGTGCATTTAAAGGTGTATAAAATCTTTGATTTAAGTATGGTATTTCTCATCCATCTGCCAAAAGTGACATTTGTGCAGTTCTCTTTAGCCAACCTATTTATATATTTAGAACGAGTACACAGACTTATGTCTTAAGCAATGTTCTACAAAGCAGTCATTGCATTAAGATAATCGTAACTCCAATACCTCAACAGAATTATAACAGTCATGGGGCTAAAATCACTTTGTGGAATGGGGTCTAGGCATAGACTGAGTGAGTGAGTTTATCATGCACTTCTTGGTAATATTTCTGCCATATCAAGGCATAGGACAAGTGCCCATGTCTAACCTTGTGAGGAATCAACCCCAGACCTACTGGCACGCTGAGCTAACACTTTAACCACAAGGCTACCCACTGGCCATCAGTACAGAACTGTAAGGTTCATTTGCTTCTAAATCAGCGTAAAAAAAAATACTATTTGAATTGTTTTCGCTATTTCTCATTACCTATAAAACATTGATTATTTAGTAAACTACAAGGTTCAACAGAAGAAATCTCTGGTCCAAGTAATGAAACGGTTGTTCTTCTGCAGTTAATACATTCTCATGCATGAGATGTGTGTGTTTATTAAGTCTACAAAACAATTATTTTGTGATGACAATGATTAGCAGAAGTTACAAACATCACCAGATCAGTCTAACATGTTGCACATGTTTTGCTAACATTGTGCCATCTAAATGTCATGGACTGCTAAAACATTTGCCTACTGGCCTTCAAACCACTCCACAAACATGTTTCATTCACGATGATCCCTACTCTGATAGAGCTCAGATACGGAGGATGGAATAATTTCTGTTCACAAAATGTTTACATCAGTTATGATATACTGTATTCGACGTAATAAGCGCTCAGGGCGCTCTCAAATTAGAAATAGTGGGCTCTTATTAGAATATTATTTTGGTGAAAAAAAAAAGAGTTGAAAGATAAATTTCATGGTTTATGCTGACAGTCTGAAATGTTTATATAAGAGAGATATATTTTTCCAGAATTTAATTGCCCATAATTAAGGGTGCATAATAATAACACACGAGTGCGTATTATACGCGAATAAATAAGTCTTGTGTACATTGATCAATCGGAAGGGGTGCTAATTGGGATTGTTCACTAGCCAATATATTAGCAAATATGGCCATGGCCCTTATTAGAGCGGGGCGCTTATTACGTCGAATATGGTATATACGACTTGACTAACAGTCCCTACCATTGTTCTTTGTTAGTTCAATGTTGCACAAGTAAATTCCAGTTCTTCAAGAATATTACAAATAAAATTAACCAATGGAGTTGATAATTAGAACTATGACCAATATGTTCTACATGTTCTATTACCTCAGCTATATCCTGTGTTATACAGACAGAACCAGGATGGATGTACAGGCCAGATCAACTTAGTTCCTTGTTTTATCAAATTTCTGGGGCAATGTGACAGGAAGCAAAATACAAATCTAAAAATCAGTTGCTTTGAGGCTACATTTCTTAAAAAGATAGTTTACAAATAACAAATTTTGATTCAAACTGCATTTTTCACGTCTTTTCACTCTTCTAGTCTGTAAAAGAAGAAGATAGCGTATTTCCTCTATTAAGAGCTGGGTTAGCTAATGATTTCTCTCCACTAGAGTTGACTGTTCACAAAGCTAAGCTGTACCTTCTCATCATAGGTACCGGAGAAATCTAAAGGAAAGATCTAGAAATAAGAGCCAACCTGGCCTATTGTACAGAATGGGTCTAAATGTAAACTGAATTGATAAGAGTTTGCATTCTTAACAGACTAAATAAGGTAAATTGATCTGGGTTTAGTAGCTTTGATCAAAAGTTTACAGCAATATTCAACTGGAATTGTACACAAAAACAATGGCCGACAGCCATGAATACTTCAGATAGTAGATTCCTCTTGCAGTCGATTTCCGCATACACAATGACTGATTCCACACAGGACATAATCAAGACCTGACCCTGTTCCAGAAAGTAATCTTTGTGCTACAACAATCATTACTCCAAGACTGACTTTCATTTGTTAGAACTGCTTAACGGAACCCTGCCCCGGTCTGGCACCATGGAGACAGGTCCATCCCTAACCAATACAGCACTGCAAACTGTTCAGGAGAAAATGAGATGACTATATACACATTTGATTAAGATGTCAGCTGGCAGGATCTATACAACAGTTTGGGTGGACTCAGCCACCTCAAAAAGCAGTAACACTTAACTTTCAGTCAAAATGAGCTTGTTCTTGTGAGAAAGAGAACACTACTGATCTACAGGAAGCACCGGTACTAATTTTCCATCCCTGACAATCATTTTTATTGACAAAAAACTGCCGTCTGAGCAGCCTTCATTATGCAGAACTCAACCATACCCGATATACACACAAATGTCCACATTTTTTCTCAGTTCCGTCCCACATTTGTTTGTGCGTGTTTTTATCAAGTCCTTATTATCACTGACTCAGCTTATTGTTTCTTTTGGGGCGATCTAGGTTTTCTGTAAGCACTTTTGAGGAAGCTTGTCTTGATGCTACCTCGGAGATATTTACTACCAATGCCCGATTTCAATATCATGCCTGTATTAACAAGGACTGTTAACCATAAGTCTATGCTGCCAAGAAGAAAAGATGGTGTGAGAGTATTCCAGGGTATGTGACCAGCAAAGATCAACAGACAAACAGACAGACATACGACAGCAAGTTCGTAAAGTAGAGCAAGGCTTTGGTAGAATGCAGGACTTCGGTGCATCCCAAATTTAACAATCATTCACACAATATTGACACATACAAGTTCAGAGTTCAAAACATAAACATGACTTCTAGCAGATCGTTGAACCTGATCTTGCAAGCCCAATCCACCACGTTCTGCATCACTGCGCTGGGCTCCCATCCTCCAAGTTATCAAGGACACATTGTGAGGTCAAGGTCACAATGAGAGGTCAAGGTCACAGAATATCAGTTACTATCTACGTGAACAGATCTCAAGACTTGGGTTTGTCACGCAACTTGCTGAGGTTATACGTTTCATTCACACCTTTCTGTCCGACCTCAGGCCAAAGTTTGAGATTCTTTTCTCGGCGCCACTGTTCCCATCTTTCGTCGTCTGATTCATGGGTGAGATAGCGCAAGCCGACTTGGGTCTCCAGAATACGCAGGTCACACCAAGTCTGGTAATCCTGTAACAAATAAACCACTGTTTTACACTGGCTGTGAGTTGGGTTTCACACTGGCTGTGAGTTGGGTTTCACACTGGCTGTGAGTTGGGTTTCACACTGGCTGTGAGTGGGGTTTTACACTGGCTGTGAGTTGGGTTTCACACTGGCTGTGAGTTGGGTTTCACACTGGCTGTGAGTTGGATTTTACACTGGCCGTGAGTTGGGTTTCACACTGGCCGTGAGTTGGGTTTTACACTGGCTGTGAGTTGGGTTTCACACTGGCTGTGAGTTGGGTTTCACACTGCCTGTTCCACCAGCACTGGATTACATGCGACAAAGTAAGGATCATAATCCAGGCCATTCTAGCATTCCTTACAAAATAGCCATATATCTTATCCTTACTAAGAACTCCAACTTCTAAATGCCTCTCAAAGAAGTCCTTACAAATACATGTACCACTGGATTTGAATGAGGACGAGAGTTTGGTTTGACACTGATTTAAACATTGTTTCAGATATATCTTGGTAGTAAGCTTAACACAGAAGGAACCTTGAAAATAACACAGGTTGTAGATATTAACTCTTTGGAAAATCCCATGAGCATTGTATGGAGCTGACAGACCAACGAGTGTAATCTGAGCAGAACTGGGATTTAAAAACTTTGACTATTGAATCCTTGCAAGTAAAACTGTGTAAAGCAAACTGTGGGGACTCATAACACATGAGTACGTATTATACACAAATAAATAAGTCTTGTGTACATTGATTAATCAGAAGAGGTGCTTATTGGGATTGTTCACTAGCCAATATATTAGCAAATATTGCAGTGGGCGCTTCTTAGAGCAGGGCGCTTATTACGTCGAATATGGTAAATACTTCACTCCTGACATGTTATGAGAATTAGTTTTGTGTATTATGGAAGGATTAAAACCTCCCTATCATATATGTATGAGGGTGGGTTGTTTATGGCAGGGTCTGCAATATTTCAGCCAGACTGCTGCGGTATGTACAAAAATCAAGTTTGACAATCCAGTGATTGATATCATGAAGATCGATCCACACAATTGGGTTGTAATAACATTCAATCAACCAAGTCACTGTGTGTGACCTCCCGATCAATTTAATCGCCTCTTTCAAAAAGCATAGTTTGCTTGGGGCCTATATTTTCACTCGTAATACCCAAGGGCAAGTTTTATTATACTGTTGCATGTACCAGAACCTTATACACATCCAAACCATGTGTGTGATGTGTATGGTGCAATACCTGAAGCCAGACGTGACAGAGAGACTTGTCGACAGTGAATCTCTTCCTCATCTTAACCTGCAGGAGGTTGCTGATGACATCAATAGCTGCAGAGAAAACAAAACCATTTATCATATCTCCACGACAGAATGATAAGATCTGATTGGTTCATGTGATCTTAATAAAATACTGTGTATCCCACCTGGGAGGGAAATAATTTTCTGAGCCGGAGAATAAATCCCTAATACCCCGCCGTGAAAAACACCGGCTGCACATGGATTTCTAAGTGGGAGAATAAATCCCTTATACCCAGCTTCGTTGCAAAAAGACGCACACTTTTCCCGAGTCAATGAAAGTCACGTGACAAAGCACAGGTTAACCACAGCTCAATGGAACAGCTGTTTGCTATCAATTTTGAATTCGTTTAGATTCTTTTACAATATCAGATTAAAAAAATGTCTTTAACATAAATTTGTTGTAGCAGTTTCACAAGGGGTACATGGGGTTTTATGCGTCCCACATTAGGTTTTATACCTAAAAACAAGGACTGGTCGGCTCGGAGTCAGTATACTGTGTCTGAGTGGGGTATTCATGTTAAACTGCTGCATGGTATCTCAGTGAGCTAGCACTATAAATCGGCATCAGTCCGGACTAGCACAAGCAGCCACACAAACACATACACGCACATGCATGTCGCTTTTCGTCCCTGTTGGGATGCATAAAATGGTACTGCTACAACTGATAGTATGAACTTATCTCACACACTAACAAGGAGTGAGTGAGTATGGTTTTACGCCGCTTTTAGCAGTATTCCAGCAATATCACGGCGGGGGACACCAGAAAGAGGCTTCACACACTGTACCCATGTCGAGAATCGAACCCGGGTCTTCGGCGTGATGAGCGAACGCTTTAACCACTAGGCTACCCGACCGCCCCACACACTAACAAGGAATGTCTCCTCATCGATAGCTGCACAGTGAGAACAACATGTTTGCCATCTCACACACTCACAAGGGATGTCTCCTCATCGATAGCTGCACAGTGAGAACAACATGTTTGCCATCTCACACACTGACAAGGGATGTCTCCTCATCGATAGCTGCACAGAGAGAACATATTTGCCATCTCACACACTGACAATGGATCACCTGGTACACTTGGTCTTCCATAGTGTACACACCCTTGACCCTGTGTCCTGGTCTCGACACAGAGGAGAACCAGAGGATGTATGTATGGATTTGAGATGCTTCACATTGCAAAGATTGATTGTGAGGGCTCTTTGTTTATTTGTTTGTTTATCTTCTTATTAAGAATTCCTGTTACAAAGTTGAGAGAGTTGCACCTTGGCAATGCAACCTTATTGCTGCACATAACAGGTACAAACTTAGCAATGGTGATCGTCAGCTGATTTATACAGTAGCTGATGAGATTCTAAATATGTTTTCCTGCTCTCACACACAACGCTTGCATTCTCTATTGATTTTAACACTATTTATAACTCTGGTCCATCCAGTGTGTTCAGGGGACTTAACTTTCTTTTTCAAACACTACAGATTATTATGAGGTGAGGTGAAATTGGGTTTAACGTCGCGTCCAAGATTATTGCACTTATATAGCGACATGCATGTGTGTGTATGTGTTTGTGTGGCTGCTTGTGCTAGTCCGGACTGATGCCGATTTATAGTGCTAGCTCACTGAGATACCATGCACCAGTTTAACATGAATACCCCACTCAGACACAGTACACTGACTCCGAGCCGACCAGTCCTTGTTTTAGCCCCTTAATGCCGAGTGCCAGACAGGGTAACAACCAGTACCATCTTTTAACGTATTTTGGTATGACGCGGCCGGGGATCGAACCCTGGACCTTCCGCTCTCCGGGCGGACGCTCTACCACTAGACCACGGAGGCGGTCGAAACATTAGAAAAACTGGCTAGTACCAATTTGCATGCCTGAGTTACTGACACCAACAATCAATCACCGATTCCTTACAATGTAAGCACCCCAACGGATCAATCATTATTCATACATAAATCATCCAGTGTTAGAGACGGTGGCGGTCCAGATTATTATGAAAAGGGCTTAATATATTAACATCCTAACACAACCTTAAAACCTGCTGCAGTGGAAACATTCTCCACACATAATTTCTGCAATAAATAACCTGTTTGTTTGTTGTTTAATGCTGCACTCAGCAGTATTCCAGCTATATGACGGCCTGTAAATAATCAAGTCTGACCCACACCATCCAGTAATTGATATTGTCAGCAACAATCCACACCATAGCAATGAACTCAGTCACGGAGCCTGATCACCCAATCCAGTAAGTTGGCTCTCGCGGCCAGCATAGGTTCTGGGGAGCGGTTCTAACGTGGACTCCCCACGGGGGTGAAGTAACTAACAACTCACCTTCCTGAGATATTTCCTTCCAAGGGCTGGGGGGGTACATAAAGGCAGCATTTTGGATTTGGTCACTGATTTCTTCATCTTCATTGAATGGAAAGGTGCCACTTAAACTGAAACATGTCATATTCATCCACAATCAAAGACTGAGACTGATGAGACTGAGACTGATGAGACTGGGACTGATGAGACAGAGACTGATGAGACTGAGACTGATGAGACTGGGACTGATGAGACAGAGACTGATGAGACTGAGACTGATGGGACTGGGACTGATGAGACTGAGACTGATGAGACTGGGACTGATGAGACTGAGACTGATGAGACTGGGACTGATGAGACAGAGACTGATGAGACTGAGACTGATGAGACTGAGACTGATGAGACTGGGACTGATGAGACTGGGACTGATGAGACTGAGACTGATGAGACTGGGACTGATGAGACTGAGACTGATGAGACTGAGACTGATGAGACAGAGACTGAGACTGATGAGACAGAGACTGATGAGACTGAGACTGATGAGACAGAGACTGAGACTGATGAGACAGAGACTGATGAGACTGAGACTGATGAGACAGAGACTGATGAGACTGAGACTGATGAGACAGAGACTGATGAGACAGAGACTGATGAGACTGAGACTGTTGGAACAGAGACTGAGACTGATGAGACAGAGACTGATGAGACTGAGACTGATGAGACAGAGACTGATGAGACTGAGACTGATGAGACAGAGACTGATGAGACAGAGACTGATGAGACTGAGACTGATGAGACAGAGACTGATGAGACAGACACATAGCCAGCAACCTTCTCCAACAGTCATCACCTGTGCAATCATCAGGGACGAGATTTTTTTTTCACTGAAAGTCAACCGGGGTTTGGGGGCATTAAATGTGTATGTGCTTTCATTGTAATGGCATTTATCACAAAAGTGACCCTTGACATAACAAAATTCACGGAAATCTGTAATCCACAGATCCACAGAAAATTCTCATTCCCTGAATGGACACATGACCAGATCCTCTACAGTGACTATCTCTTACAACCATCAGGAAATTGGGAGCTCTCTTCCCCTGAACCCTCATGAGGTTGGTGCCCCAAATCTGAAGTCATTCAGATATATCATCATGACAGATATCCTGTGCACACATATTTGGTGGTAGAGTCAATATCGACGTGCCTGAACCTGAGGTATTCTGATAAGAATGGAGACATGAATAGGTCAGTGAAGAGCAGAGACGACAGTCCTTATATTCTAGTACTGTTGTTTTTAGGGGATTGTTACTATCGTTCATTACCATATTCACTGTAATAAGCACCCTTATTAAAACCATTCACAAGTTAAATTTGTTTTCAGATATCAAACAGAAGTGAAAAGGATTAGCTCAACCATTGATGAAACTGAAAGTTTTCCAATAATAATTATTCAGCAATTATATATATTCCTTCTGCACTGCTGTTTTCTGTAAAAAAAATCTAATATATACATGAAAATATAATAAAATAAGGACTGTCATGTAACTAGTTAGTCTAAGTAGGTGAGGTGAGGTGAAATTGGGTTAATGTCGCATACTGACTCCGAGCCGACCAGTCCTTGTTTTAGCCCCTTGATGCCGAGCGCCAGACAGGGTAACAACAAGTACCATCTTTTAACGTCTCTTGGTATGACCCAGCCAAGGATTGAACCCCGCACCTTCAGCTCTCCGGGCAGACGCTCTACCACAAGACCACAGAGGCGGTCTCTAGTCTAAGTAGGGGTTGTTTATTCAGATTAATAACAGACTGCTCTAGAAGTTGTCAGAGGGTGCTTATTGGCGCTGGGCACTTAATACGACTAATACAGTTCGGTATGGAAATTCTGGAAATTCCTTTTCTATCCTTTCAAAAGTATTCTACATAAGCACCAATTTTTTTCACACAATAAGCATTTTTTATCTTCCCATATTTTCTCTGAGAAGAATGCTTCTATGTCATCAGCTAGTACAACATAATATCACTGCAAGTGTACAGTTGTGTGAGTTAATGGCAGGTGTGTCATACCTGACATAGACGACCACACCCACTGACCACATGTCCAGTGACCGGTTGTAACCTTTCCTCTTCAACACCTCCGGGGCTGAAACATTGTACAACATACTATAGGCCAAATATGTCAGCATTGTTCAACATATTGCAAGCCTAAGACTGAATAGAAGCATTGTACAACTTACTGTAGCCAAGGGGCTCTCACATTGTTCAACATACTGTTACCCTAAGACTGAAGCATTGTACAACTTACTGTAGCCAAGGGGCTCTCACATTGTTCAACATACTGTTATCCTAAGACTGAAGCATTGTACAACTTACTGTAGCCAAGGAGCTCTCACATTGTTCAACATACTGTTAGCCTAAGACTGAAGCATTGTTCAACTTGCTGTAGCCAAGGGGCTCTCACATTGTTCAACATACTGTTACCCTAAGACTGAAGCATTGTACAACTTACTGTAGCCAAGGGGCTCTCACATTGCTCAACATACTGTTACCCTAAGACTGAAGCATTGTACAACTTACTGTAGCCAAGGGGCTCTCACATTGTTCAACATACTGTTAGCCTAAGACTGAAGCATTGTACAACTTACTGTAGCCTAGGGGCCTTCACATTGTTTAACATACTGTTAGCCTAAGACTGAAGCATTGTACAACTTACTGTAGCCAAGGGGCCTTCACATTGTTTAACATACTGTTAGCCTAAGACTGAAGCATTGTACAACTTATTGTAGCCAAGGGGCTCCCACATTGTTCAACATTTTACCACATAGTGTAATCCTAAGGGCAGAGATATTGAATAAGATGATGTTAGAATGTAATATTGTACAAGATAGCAAAATGTAAGGTAGAGTGGGGTTCAAAGTCATATTCAAGATTATTTCCTTATACCCTGTAAATTTTGAAACAAATGTGTCTCCAAATTAATATGACTGCTGACCCCTAGCCTCAATATGCTGACTCAATATCAATGTCCACACCTCCCCAGTTGGCTTCAAAGTGGCAAGTTGACAGCTTTAGGTCGATATTATTTCATAGCAATAAAGACTTGGGAGGTGTCATGTACTGGAATCGATAGTATAATCACCCTAGACAAGGCAGGTATGAAGTTTTTGTGCATGATTTGTGATTTTACTATGGAAATAGTGTTAAAGGCGAGCGGTCTGGCCTTGTATAAAGATGTAACAGGATATCTTGTTTAACCAACGACACAAGGGCCTGTGACTAAGACACAGTATACAGACTCCAAGCAGACCAGAGGCCTGTTCCACAAAGCGATCTTAGTGCTATGACTGTCGTAGGCCAGTGTTAAAGTATGGGAGTTACGATCATCTCAGCGCTAAGATTGCTTTTGGGAACGGGGCCCAGTCCTTCTTTTATCACCTTAATGCCAAACATAAGGCAGGGAAACAATAGGGACTATCTGTAATGTCTTTAGGTATGACATGGTGCAGATTGTGGGCACATATATGTGTCTGAGTGATGTGAGAAACAGGCAACTGACAGGACTCACCAAGATAGGCAGGGGTACCCACAACAGATCTACGGAAAGACTTTTCACCAATGATTCTTGCAAATCCAAAGTCACATAACTTGACCTGAAAGAATAAACTGAAACTTCACTTCCTGAAGGAAATACCTTAATTTCCCAGGTGCATGCATGAATACCCATCCTGACATAGTCTGTCATTCATGCAAACAAACTAACAGCATCTTCTACTTGATATTGAAGGCTACTATGCTTGTCGTAAGAGGCGACTATGGGATCGGGTGGTCGGGCTCGCTGACTTGGTTGATGCATGTCATCGCATCCCAATTGTGTAGATTGATGCTCATAATGTCAATCACTGGATTACAATATACAATTTCAACCTATCAGTATGTAGGTCAGTATGCCTGTGGTGACTGATGTTGACCAAATTTTACATTGTCTGGTTTGTACTATTTCAAATTGGACATTTTGCAGTCACAATCAGACAAATCTGGCGCAAAGACCAACTTCCGGATCCCTGGTTGTTGCCCTTGGTATGTCAGATTGAATAAATGCACATATTGTTGGTACCTATTTGTACAACAGATTGAATAAATGGGTAATCTCCATTTTTTTGTTGGTACCTATTGGTACAAGGGATTGAAAATATGGGTTATCTCCATTATGTTGTTGGCACCTATTAGTACAACAGATTGAATAAATGGGTTATCTCCCTTATGTTGTTGGTACCTATTGGTACAAGAGATTGAATAAATGAGTTATCTCCATTATGTTGTTGGCACCTATTAGTACAACAGATTGAATAAATGGGTTATCTCCCTTATTGTTGTTGGTACCTATTGGTACAAGAGATTGAATAAATGAGTTATCTCCATTATGTTGTTGGCACCTATTAGTACAACAGATTGAATAAATGGGTTATCTCCCTTATGTTGTTGGTACCTGTGGGAATGCAGTCTCCGATGACAACAGTACATTCTCTGGCTTCAGATCACAGTGGACAATGCTCTTGTTGTGTAGGTGTTTTAAGGCAACCAGGATCTGAAGGAATAAGACAGTCATTGAAGCAATTACAAATGAAAAGATGAGTTGTAGTTAACGTATGTTAAGTAAAAATATAGTTGCCATTATTTTACTTACACGTTAAAGTTTTACCCCTCGGGAAAAAACCCATGATCTTGATAAGGGATGACAAATATCATTATCCAGGTAATTCTGTGACTCATTACAAATAAATGGACCACTTGATTTGATAGGGGAGTTTGACTTAACTATCCCTTGAACAGTCTTCAAGGAGGTGTTATATCACAGTTCAGTCTGCGAGGAAAGCATGCACTGATGCAGGTCTGCAACATTTATCACTTTGGTGAAATCCATCAGAGCAGATACAGTGTCACAAACCAAGAGTCAAAACTGGGGCAAATCGGGGATTCAAACCTGTGATCACAGGATTCTGGCATGCCAAAGGGACATAACTCTGTTTGAATTGAGCGCTTTAGACATCTGGGTCCCCCGTGTCACTGAGATCCTGTGCCCCTATTTGGGTGTCATGAAGGGTTTCTTACTTGTGATATGAGGTATTTGGTGACTCTCTCACTGAGTCGACCCTTCGGGCTGGACAGTATCATCTCTAGCATATCTCCCTTCAGCTTCTCCATCACCACAAAGATCTGCAACACAGGAGGAGGGAGGTGAGGGGGCCAATATCACATCATACCGTCACATGTTTTCGCTCGACATATACCGTATTCGACGAATTAAGCGCTCAGGGCGCTCTCGAAATTAAAAATAGGGGGCTCTTATTAGAATATTATTTTGGTGAAAAAAAACAGAGTTGAAAGATAAATTTTGTGGTTTATGCTGACAGCCTGAAATGTTTATGTACGACAGATATATTTTTCTAGAATTTAATTGCCCATAATTAAGGGTGCATATAACACACGAGTGCGTATTGTACGCGAATAAATAAGTCTTGTGAACATTGATCAATCGGAAGGGGTGCTAATTATGTGGAATGCGGTACTTCCACTGGGACTGGGACTGTTTGTCAACAAGCACTGTCCCACTACCACTCAATTAACATATGCTCAGAATCAAGCTACAATACGTAAGTTATTGATAACATTTAAGAAACATATCAGTTCAGTCAAATCACTAAGACATAACTCACCACTACGAAAAAATCGTATTAAAAAGGTTTTAGTGCTGTCAAAAAAACTGAGGGATGGATCGTCTGCTTGGTGTTGATATCGACTATCAGAAAATCACATGATCATCACATGATAGTCTAGCTAAAAATAAAATGTATGGAAAAGCAGTGGGGCCATCTCTAATACTAGTACTATCTGTGGATATTTTCATGATGTTTTAAGTTAATGTCATGATAGTTTTTATAGATTTTAGGGCTCCATCAGATCAGGGAAGGGCAATTATTTGACATATTCACCAGAAAGCATGGAAAAAGCTTAGAAGGCCGTCATTAGAGGCAAAGGGCTCAAAAGTGCAGCAAGACAGTTTTCTGTGCCCTATTTGTCTCTTCATGACCATCTTTGTGGAAATGTCTCTATTGAATGTGAGATCGGGACCCAATGCATAATTATCCCAAGAGGAAGAACAAAGCATCATATCTCAGGTAGAGATGATGTCTGCTTTTGGGTATGGTTATTCCCGTGCAGAGGTTACTGATTTAGCCACCGATCTTGCCGTCTGCTTAGGGAAGAAACAAAAAGACGACTAGCCTCTTTCACTTCAGTGGTTTTACAGTTTTCTTAAGAGATGGCCAGAAATGAATGTTCAAACTTTGAGTGAGTGAGTGAGTATGTTTTACGCAATATTCAAGCAATATCATGCCGAGGGACACCAGAAATGGGATTCACACATTGTACCCATGTCAGGAATCGAACCTGGGTCTTCAAGTGACAAGTGAGAAGATACTGTAAATCATGAACTTAATGTAGATTGTAAACTTAGAATTCAATGATATGGTAATATGGCCTGATAGCAGTTCGAATGAATGAAACTTAACTTCAACTTCTTGACATGTGATCTAACTTCCATGAAATTAAAGCAGAAAATTCCAAACAATGCATATTTAAATTACATGGGTCCGGTCACCAAAGAAAATTGTACAGGTTCCAAGTGTTGTTACATGGGTTCCTTTGAGCGTGATCCTTTGAGCGTGATCCTTTGAGCGTGATCCTTTGAGCGTGATCCTTTGAGCGTGATCCTTTGAGCGTGATCCTTTGAGCATGATCCTTTGAGCGTGATCCTTTGAGCGTGATCCTTTGAGCGTGATCCTTTGAGCGTAAATAAGCAGTGTCCTCTATTCACTACAATTTAACTGCTGTTGCCGTACTGGACATTTCACAGCATAGGCGAGCAGTGTTTTTCTTGTAATTATAAGATTATTTGAAAAGTTTACCAGGGACAAAGACGTCGTCCAACATGACTATCACAACGGCTTGATCAACATGTGTCAACAAACTGACCACACTGTCCAAATCTAGCGCTCAATTGCATTGTTTATTGGGAGCTTTGTTGGTGTTAGCCTTACACGTTTGGCAGTGTTTCCCCGTGCAGTTAACCTGATATGACAATATACTCCAATATGTCCAGATAAAAAATGTACATACTGTATTCGACGTAATAAGCGCCCAGGGCGCTCTTGAAATTAGAAATAGGTGGCTCTTATTAGAATATTATTTTGGTGTAAAAAAACAAAGTTGAAAGATAAATTTCGTGGTTTATGCTGACAGCCTAAAGTGTGTATGTACGACAGATATATGTTTCCAGAATTTAATTGTCCATAATTAAGGGTGCATATAACACACGAGTGCGTATTATACGCGAAAAAATAAGTCTTGTGTACATTGATCAATTGGAAGGGGTGCTAACTGGGATTAGCAAATGTCACCGTGGGCGCTTATTAGAGCGGGGCGCTTATTATGTCGAATAGGGTATTACTAATGTGTGCAAGGGACACTTGCATTTTTCGCATTAATTTCATGTTCGCATTAATTTCATGATTTACAGTAACAGGACTTTCTACAGATGCAAATTCTACACTGAAAATATAATAATTCTAGGAGGCTTTGTCTACAACACTAAAATGGAAATATCACCAATGCATTATGAAATTCCTACAGCACAAGTAACTATGGTAATCATTGTTCCATGTTGTGCCTACCCTCTCAGGTGTTTCGAACATCTGCTCTAGGTTGACGACCCCCGGATGATGCAAATTCTGTAACCAGGTATACATGGCATAAATTAAATAATTACATCAATATTTTCCATCTACAGTTTTCATGTTTCATATCTCAAACAATCTCCAAACTTCAATCTCTGATCCTCCTCCATTTTATTACTTTCAAATATTTATATCCAGCATCTATATTTCCAACTTATCATATAACCTGTCATAACATATAAACCTGGTGTCTGTACATTGCATTCAGTATCAGCCCATGATACCCATAATGATACTCATATCAACCAATGAGAGCAGTATTGGTACTCGTATCAACCAATGATAGCCATATTGGAACATGAATCAACCAATGATAGCTGTATTGGTACATGTATCAACCAATGATAGCCGTACTCGTATGTGTATCAGCCAATGATAGCCGTATCAACCAATGATAGCCGTATTGGTATGTGTATCAACCAATGATAGCCATATTGGTACGTGTATCAACCAATGATAGCCATACTGGTATGTGTATCAACCAATGAGAGCCGTAGTGGTATGTGTATCAACCAATGATAGCCATATTGGTATGTGTATCAACCAATGATAGCCGTATTGGTACGTTTATCAACCAATGATAGCCGTATTGGTATGCGTATCAACCAATGATAGCCGTATTGGTATGTGTATCAACCAATGATAGCCGTATTGGTACGTGTATCAACCAATGATAGACGTATTGGTATGTGAATCAACCAATAATAGCCGTATTGGTAGTTGTATCAACCAATGATAGCCGTATTGGTAGTTGTATCAACCAATGATAGCCATACTGGTATGTGAATAAACCAACAATAGCCGTATTGGTAGTTGTATCAACCAATGATAGACGTATTGGTACGTGTATCAACCAATGATAGCTGTATTGGTATGTGTATCAACCAATGATAGCCGTATTGGTACGTGTATCAACCAATGATAGCCGTATTGGTACGTGTATCAACCAATAATAGCCGTATTGGTAGTTGTATCAACCAATGATAGCCGTATTGGTACGTGTATCAACCAATGATAGCCATACTGGTATGTGAATCAACCAATAATAGCCGTATTGGTAGTTGTATCAACCAATGATAGCCGTATTGGTACGTGTATCAACCAATGATAGCCATACTGGTATGTGAATCAACCAATAATAGCCGTATTAGTAGTTGTATCAACCAATGATAGCCGTATTGGTACGTGTATCAACCAATGATAGCCATACTGGTATGTGTATCAACCAATGATAGCCGTATTGGTACGTGTATCAACCAATGATAGCCATATTGGTATGTGTATAAACCAATAATAGCCGTATTGGTAGTTGTATCAACCAATGATAGCCGTATTGGTACGTGTATCAACCAATGATAGCCATACTGGTATGTGAATCAACCAATAATAGCCGTATTGGTAGTTGTATCAACCAATGATAGCCGTATTGGTACGTGTATCAACCAATGATAGCCATACTGGTATGTGAATCAACCAATAATAGCCGTATTAGTAGTTGTATCAACCAATGATAGCCGTATTGGTACGTGTATCAACCAATGATAGCCATACTGGTATGTGTATCAACCAATGATAGCCGTATTGGTACGTGTATCAACCAATGATAGCCATATTGGTATGTGTATAAACCAATGATAGCCGTATTGGTACGTGTATCAACCAATTATAGCCATACTGGTATGTGAATCAACCAATGATAGCCGTATTGGTACGTGTATCAACCAATGATAGCCATACTGGTATGTGTATCAACCAATGAGAGCCGTAGTGGTATGTGTATCAACCAATGATAGCCATATTGGTATGTGTATCAACCAATGATAGCCGTATTGGTATGTTTATCAACCAATGATAGCCGTATTGGTATGCGTATCAACCAATGATAGCCGTATTGGTATGTGTATCAACCAATGATAGCCGTATTGGTACGTGTATCAACCAATGATAGACGTATTTGTATGTGAATCAACCAATAATAGCCGTATTGGTAGTTGTATCAACCAATGATAGCCGTATTGGTACGTGTATCAACCAATGATAGCCATACTGGTATGTGAATAAACCAATAATAGCCGTATTGGTAGTTGTATCAACCAATGATAGACGTTTTGGTACGTGTATCAACCAATGATAGCTGTATTGGTATGTGTATCAACCAATGATAGCCGTATTGGTACGTGTATCAACCAATGATAGCCGTATTGGTACGCGTATCAACCAATAATAGCCGTATTGGTAGTTGTATCAACCAATGATAGCCGTATTGGTACGTGTATCAACCAATGATAGCCATACTGGTATGTGAATCAACCAATAATAGCCGTATTGGTAGTTGTATCAACCAATGATAGCCGTATTGGTACGTGTATCAACCAATGATAGCCATACTGGTATGTGAATCAACCAATAATAGCCGTATTAGTAGTTGTATCAACCAATGATAGCCGTATTGGTACGTGTATCAACCAATGATAGCCATACTGGTATGTGTATCAACCAATGATAGCCGTATTGGTACGTGTATCAACCAATGATAGCCATATTGGTATGTGTATAAACCAATGATAGCCGTATTGGTACGTGTATCAACCAATTATAGCCATACTGGTATGTGAATCAACCAATGATAGCCATGTTGGTTGGTTTGTAGTTCTGACAACTGTGAATGCATGGTATTTGTACAACAGAAGGAAAAACGCTATTTTTTCACGTATTTGTAACATTTTTTGTCAGGTATTAGTATCTGCTTTAAACAGTGTGTAGCCTTGGTCAAAAAGAGAGGCCAAGAACACCTCTGCTACCAATCACATCTCACCTGTAATATGGAGACTTCAGTCTTGAGCTGTGCCTCCTGCTTGGTTGGGAATCTCATCTTGTCTATAACCTTGATGGCTACATCCCGATATGTCTTCCGATGTCGGCCTGCACATTCACATACAACTTACTCCTTGATCTCACAACAACATACAACTGTCTTAATTACAACAAATTTAACAATTACGAAAATATAAAACTGAATGATACTATTAACATTAGTAACATTGATGTTGGTGATAGAAGTTTATAGTTCAGTTTGGACGATTGTTGTACAGTACCTCCATAAACTATTCCGAACTGTCCCGATCCAAGGACATCTTCTGGAAATATTTGGTACAGCTGGCTGACATCCGGCTGGAAGAGCAGGTCAGGGATATAATCTGCAGTACATACTCACACCTAGAGCAATGTATCTAAAGCTTACAGAAAAATACTGATGTTTAGGCCATTGTTCCCTTCAATGCACATTCTGTACATCTGACACTACTATCTTGTGAACAGGTGAGTGAGGTGAGGTGAAATTGGGTTTAACGGCGTGTCCAAGTGTGTGTGTGTGTGTGTGTGTGTGTGTGTGTGTGTGTGTGTGTGTGTGTGTGTGTGTGTGTGTGTGTGTGTGTGTGTGTTGTGTGTGTGTGTGTGTGTGTGTGTGTTGTGTGTGTGTGTGTGTGTTGTGTGTGTGTGTGCTTGTACAAGTCCGAACTGATGACGATTTATAGGCACAGTATACTGACTCCGAGCTGACCAGTCCTTGTTTTAGCCCCTTAATGCCATTGTTTCCTTCAATGCTGAGCGCCAGATAGGGTAACAACAAGTACCATATTTTAACGTCTTTTCATATGACGCGACCGGGAACAGGTGAGTGAAGGGAACTACTGTACGCCTAACCTCATCAGTTACATCACCTGCAACATCACCTACATCACCTACAACATCACCGACAACATCACCATCCACATTAGTGTTGTTGCACAAACTAAACCAGGTTGCACTCATAACAGAACCTATAAACTATAGTTGAATATAAGTAGAAAAATATAAGGTCTTTTAAAGGCATTCTTACTAATTTTGTTTTCCTTACATGTACATACATATGCTCTCTGCCTCATGGCATTCATTCACCTGATGAAGGAGTAGGCATGTACTCCGAAACGTTGTGTTCCTCATAATAAAGAAGTTGACATCCATATATTATCTTCCTTGGAAAGATAATCTCAGATCCCAGATCAGTGTCAGTAGTATACTGAAGTTTTCAGTTCACTGACAAGATCACTTTGAACCGAAATACAAAACCATCCAATACATTCCCTTGCTTTCTTGTCATCATAAGATTAATCGGAATTTATAACCAGCATCTGCAGTAACGGCATCATTTCAGCATAATCTGTGAATGTCACTTCTTTCATGAACCCCAACATTATTCAACCTTATTGATTTACAACCAGTTCTAAATGTATAATTGTGAAGTGCCCACAGTTTGATGACATCAAACCTTAGGAACAATGACAAATTTCACATAGGTGAGGTCAAACGGGGTTTAACATCGCGTTCAATATTATACCACTACATAGTCACGTGTATGCACGTGTGTGGCTGCTTGTACTAGTCCGGACTGATGCCGATTTTAAAGTGCTACCACTGAGATACCATGCTGCAGTACAACATAAATACCCCACTCAGACACGGTATACTGACTTGGAGCCGACCAGTCCTTAATGCCGAGAGCCAGGCAGGGTATCAAAAAGTACCATCTTTTAACGTCTTTTGGTATGACGCGGCCGGGGAGTGTGTGTGTGTGTGTGTGCATAATATGTTTAGAGATCTCCACAGGGATTGTGCTTCAAGTTACTCAATACTCAAGAATTTTAATAACATTGTTTCACGATGTACAGTACCGGTTTCTGTGATGCGGTTCCATCGGTGCCATTGTTCTGGTTCTCACCTGGAAGACAACGGAACATTCACCTTCAAATTTGTATTAGAGCTACTCCACATAATGGCTGTTGTTTTATAATTACTGGACACCAATCACAATTACAACTTCAGAACAGACCTCCTTCCTTTCTGCATTGTCTGTTGATTCTTTCAGTTATTAAATATACCGTGTTCTACTGTATATCACAGCGTGTCACCTCAATCTAGGAGGAAAGCCATAAGTGACACAGTCCTCAGATGAAACCCAGGAGCACGGGTATGGTGCTAACAGACCAAGAAATGTAACATGATTGGAACGAACTGGGATTCGAACCCACAATCTTAGGTTTCTGGCATGCTCAAGGGATGCAACTCTGCACAGCAAATTGCAGAGCCTTAGACAACTGGGTCACCTGTGTCCACTCTATAAATGAAACGCTAGTGCTGAGTCTTGATCAGAAGTAACAAATCAGTGATTGGTCCCGTCCTAACTGGCTGATCATCAATGAACTAACTATTATTTATTTATTTATTTATTTATATTTTGACACTTAACGATGATCATACTAACAAAATGAATCATGCAGAGTTATTTTGATTCTTGTTGATCACATAAAACCACTTATTTCCATTTTTTGTTGTATCCACTGAGAAATAAAAAAGAGTGAGTTTGGTTTAACGCCGCTTTTAACATTATTCCAGTTATATCACGGCGTGTCAGCTTAATGTGGGAGGAAAGCCCAAAGTGATGCAGGTCTCAGATGTTTACCACTTCGGTGAAACCCACGAGCACGGGTATGGTGCTTATAAACCTAGAAACATTATCGGGGCGAACCAGGATTCGAACCCACAATCATAGGTTTCTGGCGTGGCCAATGGACGCAACTCTGCACAGCGAATCACGGCGCCTTAGAAGACTGGGCCACCCGTGCCCCCTCACGTAGATCAAGTGTTGAATACTTTATAACAGTCTATTCATAACATATTCATATTAGGTAAGAAAACTAGTGCCCCCGAGAAATAAAAGAGGAAAAATGACACTTTGTCTCATGTACAAAGTAGCCGCCTGAAACGAATCAATGATGAGGATTGTTTTACTAAGTAAAGAGGAAAACCATCTCCATTTTAGACCAAGAAAATGTGTTCAATTACTTAGGCTGTTTCAAGTAACAAATCTATGATGTTCCAAGTAATTGCCACAGCACATCATGTGTAGGTTTTCATTATAATAAACATGGTGGGAAGAAACACAGACTTTGTGAAAGTGAACACATTCAAGGCTGCCCAAACCCTTCTAACTCTACAACACATTAGCGGGAATATAATCCTAGGTTTCATCTTGCACCTAACACAGGGGCAGTATTTCACATGAAATGTTAGATGAATGTCAATTGGGATTTACCATTGAAACCATTGTGTTGTCTATTAGAAATTAAATATCAGTCTGATTTGCACACGAGAAAGTTATCAATAGAAAACACCATGACTCATTTAGTGCTTCATAAACAACAACAATATGGATGGTTATTAAGGACTGGATTTTTATGAGCATGCAAGTAATCATCAAGGTCATTATTGAGTCAATGTTCGTAGGACAAGTTTCATTACTCTAGCACTGGGTGTGACATGTGCATACATGTAATACTTCCCGATCTATTCAGGACCCAACCCTGCCTATACAGAACGTATATCTCACCACCATCCCTTCCTATATAGAACATATATCTCACCTACCAGCCCTGCCTAAATAGAATGTATATCTCACCTCCCACCCCTGCCTATACATAACATATATCTCACTTCACACCCCTGCCTATATAGAACGTATATCTCACCTCTCACCCCTGCCCATACAGAATATGTATCTCACCTCCCAGCCCTGCCTAAATAGAATGTATATCTCACCTCACACCCCTGCCTATACATAACATATATCTCACCTCCCAGCCCTGCCTAAATAGAACGTATATATCTCACCTCCCACCCCTGCCTATACATAACATATATCTCACCTCCCAGCCCTGCCTAAATAGAATGTATATCTCACCTCACACCCCTGCCTATATATAACATATATCTCACCTCCCAGCCCTGCCTAAATAGAACGTATATATCTCACCTCCCACCCCTGCCTATACATAACATATATCTCACCTCCCAGCCTTGCCTAAATAGAATGTATATCTCACCTCCCACCCCTGCCTATACATAACATCTACCTCACCTCCCAGCCCTGCCTATATAGAACATATATCTCACCTCTCACCCCTGCCCACACAGAACATGTATCTCACCTCCCAGCCCTGCCTAAATAGAATCTATATCTCACCTCCCAACCCTGCCTAAATAGAATGTATATCTCACCTCCCACCCCTGCCTATACATAACATATATCTCACTTCACACCCCTGCCTATATAGAACGTATATCTCACCTCCCACCCCTGCCCATACAGAACATGTATCTCACCTACCAGCCCTGCCTAAATAGAACGTATATCTCACCTCCCACCCCTGACCATACAGAAAGTATATTCCACCTTCCACCCCTGCCAATATAAAACATGTCTCACCTCCCACCCCCGCCTAAATAGAATGTATATCTCACCTCCCAGCCCTGCCAATATAAAACATATATCTCACCTACCAGCCCTGCCTAAATAGAATGTATATCTCACCTCCCAGCCCTGCCAATATAAAACATATATCTCACCTCCCACCCCTGCCTAAATAGAATGTATATCTCACCTCCCAGCCCTGCCAATATAAAACATATATCTCACCTCCCACCCCTGCCTAAATAGAATGTATATCTCACCTTCCACCCCTGCCAATATAGAATGTATATCTCACCTCCCACCCCCGCCTAAATAGAATGTATATCTCACCTTCCACCCCTGCCAATATAGAACGTATATCTCACCTCCAACCCCTGCCTATATAGAACGTATATCTCACCTCCCACCCCTGCCTATATAGAACGTATATCTCACCTCCAACCCCTGCCTATATAGAATGTATATCTCACCTCCAACCCCTGCCTATACAGAATGTATATCTCACCTCCCACCCCTGCCTATATAGAACGTATATCTCACCTCCAACCCCTGCCTATATAGAACGTATATCTCACCTCCCACCCCTGCCAATATAGAATGTATATCTCACCTCCAACCCCTGCCTATATAGAACGTATATCTCACCTCCAACCCCTGCCTATATAGAACGTATATCTCACCTCCCACCCCTGCCAATATAGAATGTATATCTCACCTCCAACCCCTGCCTATATAGAACGTATATCTCACCTCCAACCCCTGCCTATATAGAACGTATATCTCACCTCCCACCCCTGCCTATATAGAACGTATATCTCACCTCCAACCCCTGCCTATATAGAACGTATATCTCACCTCCAACCCCTGCCTATATAGAACGTATATCTCACCTCCCACCCCTGCCTATATAGAACGTATATCTCACCTCCCACCCCTGCCTATATAGAACGTATATCTCACCTCCCACCCCTGCCAATATAGAATGTATATCTCACCTCCCACCCCTGCCAATATAGAATGTATATCTCACCTCCAACCCCTGCCTATATAGAACGTATATCTCACCTCCCACCATGCTCATGACACTGGAGGTTGGTGTTACAGGCATCAAGGCTTGTCTCAGTGCCTGCTCCCAGTGTTTGGCCTGCTCCAGTCCGATGCCACTCTCCGTCGATGATACAATGTTGTTCTCCTGATGTCCAAATGTTGGGTCTTCCCCAATGCAGTAGATAGCATTCGATGTTCGGATCTCGAAGACATGTGGTGGTCGGGCGGGGTCAATATGTTTAGATTTAGCAGGTTCTACCCCCTCAATGCTGTTCAGTTGAATCTCCTAGAAACAAATACCCTCAACACATCAGGCATAAATGAGCCAAGATCTAATGTTGCATAAGACATCAGTGTAAAAAAATAAGCCTAAAAGTGAGTGAGTGATTGAGTGAGTTTGGTTTCATGCCGCTTTTAACAGTTTTCCAGTTATATCACGGCGTGTCAGTTTAATGTGGGAGGAAAGCCAGAAGTGATGCAGGTCTCAGACGTTTACCACTTCGGTGAAATCCACGAGCACGGTACTGGTGCTGACAAACCTAGAAACGTACTCGGGGTGAACTGGGATTCGAACCCACAATCATAGGTTTCTGGCGTGACCAAGGGATGCAACTCTGCACAGAGAATCGCGGCGCCTTAGACGACTGGGTCACCCGTGCCCCCAGCCTGAAAGTAATGGGGTAGGGGGACTCCAGATTCCAATAATAAAGCAACAAACCTCAAGGACCCCCAGACAAAACAAGGCAACATTTTGGACATTAGGAGATGAATACTGTGGAAAGTGTAACATACAACAGTGGTGGAATCCATCTCTGATCTTGACAGTTAATCAATTGTCAGTATTTCGTAGGCTGGTCCTGGGGTGCTTTAGGAGTTCTCAAAGAGTATTTAAATCAAGGAACCCCTTCAATCATTAACACAGGTCTTAAACATTTACCACTTTGGTGAAACCCAGAAGTATGAGTATTATGCTGACAAACCAAGGATCAAAATCTCGAGGAATCTAGGCTAAAACCCCAAAATTATCAGATCCTTGCATGGCTAAGGGACAAAACTCTGCACAGGGAATTACGGGGTATCTGTTCCTACATGTAGTGCATGTATTCCTGTATAAATCATCTATACAGCCAATGGAAAGACCGTTCAACAGGTGACTCTTACCTTGAAGTACCTTGAGGTATTTTCATTCATAAACATGGTAATAACTTTTGTGTCGAGTCTCCAATAATGTCGCTTTCTCTGCAAGAAAAAGGTGGGTTTTTAACACAACATTTCCTTCACATATACCCCTGAACACACTAACATCATAGCTCCATTTCAATTAATATATAATTAAAGATATATGAATAATACAGTGAAATCCATCTGCTGTAACAGTAGATATGACTGATGTTCAACAGAAGTCCAATTTGTCACCATGAGCACATCAGGAACAGCTCTTGACATTTATTCTGTTCTTATTAAAGATGAAATTTGTAGTTGACATGATGGTGTTCACTGAAGAAGGGACAACAGATAACACAGTAATATACATTCCATTTCTTTCCGTGTAAGATTTTATTGTATTTAGTATTATAACAATCAAATTTAACAAAAGACAAAAGGGTTTCCCACATTGGGGAGTCAAACCCAGATCATTAGTGTGACAAGTCAACACCCTTACCACTTAGCTACACTAAAATCACCAATACGTATGTTCAAATCAGTTACGATTATGATACAGAGATGACGTAATTTCCGATTCGGAGGTCACCATTCTGGTAGCTTGTACAGTGTAACGTCCACTAACTAACATGTCGAAACCTATATGTCTCCTAGATCTATGATTCCAGACGTGAGTCAGCGATCTGCCAACCTCCAGCAGAAAAGGAATTAAATGGCCAACTCATCTTGTCATTTAGGACTTCCTGGAATAGTCACAGCCCCCACCCCCTCCAAAAGTAAAGGGAGGAGAGTTACTGGATTACTACCACCCTTGTGACAACAGGTCCTTCAAGATCAAGTTGTATGTCACACAAGTAGAAGTTAGAACACATATTGTAGGATTTCCATTAACAGCTAGCCACCACTTGTTCAATGAATACAGAATTCCATGTAGTCAGATTTGTAGTTAGAGCTTTAATCTCATGAGTTCTGTAACTTCCCCATGTTGGTGTAGAGAGATGTGCCTGGTCAGAATAGTCGTCTCATATGGTGGTTTTGAGCCATCCTGCCTTTTTAGGACTTACAGTATCTAGCCACCATAATGTCAGACTCATTGACCATAAAATCACACTTTTTAAAACCCAGAACTACATTTCCTAAAAATTTCATAGTGCCTAACTTTCAATAAGGTCAAACTTGCAATACCACCACAATCTGTGTGTCAAGGGTATCTATGAGTGGTGGCTGCTGGAGGGTTCCGAGCCTAACTATGATGGACTGCATTGATGGAGTTGGCTTCTACTTTTTCTTCAAAATAATCTTCTCCGAGGTCCACCCACTTCTGCCAATGTTACTGGAGTGCCTGGATCCCACTGGAAGAAGTCTTCCTTCTGGTGGTGTGAAAAAAAGTCCTCCACAGCAGAAATGATGTCATCATCATTTGCATAATGCTTGCAAGTTATGGAACATATCTTCAGCAGGTTTTCCAAGATGTTTAGCCTTGACTAAGAAGATTGTCATAATAGGACCTCGTATTGTCCAATTAATGGTCTGACCTTTTGGGAGGTAGTCTACCAGTAGGATTACTTTGGAATCCCAGACGTTTGAAGCCATTGTCAGCTGTTGGAACAGACTTTGCCTTCTTTGGAGAAGGTGTTAGATGTTTCTACTGCTCTTATTGTTGCTTAGTTGCTGACTGATAGTGGTGAACCCAAGCCCCTTCAACAACATCATCTTGGTCTGCTTTCAAAACAATATACTTTTTGAATACACAATGCCATTTAGAAAGTGGTCAAATGTAACAAACGTTATATTTGGGATAACACTTTCTTAGTAAAGTACAGATTCTCGTACTTTTTTGGGTTGAGTAATATATTGGCTAGTGAACAATCCCAATTAGCACCCCTTCCGATCGATCAATGTACAAAAGACTTATTTATTCGCGTAAAATACGCACTCGTGTGTTATATGCACCCTTAATTATGGGCAATTAAATTCTTGAAAAATATATCTGTCGCATATAAACATTTCAGGCTGTCAGCATAAACCACGAAATTTATCTTTCAACTCTCTTTTTTTCACCAAAATAATATTCTGATAAGAGCCCCTTCTTTCTAATTTTGAGAGCGCCCTGGGCGCTTATTACGTCGAATACGGTATATCATGTAATTTATCAACATTTTCCTTTGTGGTGGCAGTTGAAGGTTTTCTTGACCTTGGATCTTCTCTTCTTGAACTCTGCTGCCCACAGTGGCAAAGGAGGGAGCATCATCCCCTCAAGTTGATTCCATATCTGTTAGCCCTTTCAGTTGGAGATACTTGATGACAGTGCAGCAGCCAGTTTTGTCCACTTTCTTCAACAGGGAATACCTGGTCACTTTGAAGTCTGAAGAAATGCTGCCAGGGTCTGAACTGGTTTAAATTCAGCCAGTAAACATGGATGGTGTTGTCCCAAATACATGAAAGATGGTAAAGGTGTACCCTGCATCAGGCACCTCTTGTACTTACAACATGATCCCTGTTGGTGAAGTGCACCATCCACCCCTCTTTGATGATCTTGGACCCGGTCCGCTTGGTGTTTTTGACGGACTGTACCACTCTCATCAGGGGGATGTTGCTGCTCTGGGTGGGACTGCACACAACAGATAATCAGTGAGTTCACACTTGAGTCACAATGTTTTATAGCAATCAGACATTCAGATAACACTGACAAATCATCAAATATTATACTATTGTTACCTAAGTAATAATTTTCAAATACTAGGTATATGTGATATTTATGTCAGGCGCTATGAATGTGTGAGTGAGTATGGTTTTACGCCGCTTTAAGCAATATTCCAGCAATATTTGATCAAAGGACACTAGAAATGGCATTCACAATGTTCCCATGCGGAGAATCGAAGCCAGGTTGGAATGGCGGGTGACCGTCTTAACCACTACACCCCAACACTGCCATCATATCACGAAGATCAGTGAGTGAGTGACTTTGGTTTAACACCGCTTTTAACATTATTCCAGTTATATCAGCTTAATGTGGGAGGAAAGCCCGAAGTGATGTAGGTTTCGGACGTTAACCACTTCGGTGAAACCCACGAGCACGGGTATGGTGCTGACAAACCTAGAAACATAATCGGGGCGAACCGGGATTCGAACCCACAATCATAGGTTTCTGGCGTGCCCAAGGGACACAACTCTGCACAGCGAATCGTGGCGCCTTAGACGACTGGGCCACCCATGCCCCCTCACGTAGATCAAGCGTTGAATACTTTATAACAGTCTATTCATAACATATTCATATTAGGTAAGAAAACTAGTAACACTTTCAATGTGTCTATGAGTCGAATAGTGACTGTGTCTGTTTCCAGGACATGTTGGCCTACTCTAAAACCTGAGGCACATGTGCTTGTTTTTGAAATGCCTAGTAACCACAGATAATTTATACTTCATATCTTGTTGTGGGTGTAACTATTCATTATAAGAAATACTGAAATTCAATTTTAGTACTTAGTTTATGGAACTGCCTACCCAAAATTGCATGTTGAATAACGTTTTGAGACACATACTTTTTTTAATTCCTTCCAAGTCTGTTCAACAACAAAAATATTGGATAATGAAATTATTAAACGGTCATTAATAATGTTTTATTTCACTTTCCATAAGTTTAACCCAACAGACAATTGTTAGAGATAATGTTTTAAAAACTGATAAAAAAAGCGTAAAATATATACACTGTATATTGCCATTAATAAGGCGAGTTTTTCGTACCTAGAACTCAGGGGGTTTCAAGGGGTTTCAACCCCATACACAGGGTAGACAAGTGTTGTTGGTTTTTACCCTAACACAAAGACATTAACATGAGTACGGAACACTGGAAATGCCATATCAAGAAATCTGGGTATATGTGGCATATGGGACATAAAAGAAATGACAAATAATGTCGGGCCTGGGTATCCTATACCACTGACCTGAGTATCCTATACCACCGGCCTGAGTATCCTATACCACTGACCTGAGAGGGGGCTTCTGTTGCCCATCTTCATTTTCCTCAAATTCCTGTTGGCAGTTTTCGTCACCATGAGTTGAGAACTCATCTTGGTCACCTTCGGCAATGTCTGGCTCAATCAAGCTCTCAGTCTCTGATTGACACAAAGATAAAACACATATGATAATTAACAAATAATCTGCACGTAATAGGTAAAAGGATTAGAGGATGTCTTCATCAAACAACATTCTTTATATGCTACTTCCCTCCAAACTAATTTTATGCCTGCTGGCTTTGTCCAAAATTAAATAACTTATTTCTGTTTATCTTCAATCAGCTTTCCACATTCTCCCTGAAAATGTCATTTCATTTTGTTAGGTCATCAAGGTTCAACATGATTTTCCACTTATCATCAAAGACATTTATAATTCCTTGGGTTTGTGGTCTACTCAAATCTTAGTTAAGTTTTATTCACTTCAACACAGATGAAAGCTTCACAAACTCATCAATCATCACTCCTAAAGATTTGCATTTCAAAGATGAAAAAAGAAAATACAATCTGAAACAATGCTTCACTGAATCTGTCTATAACCTGTAAACTGGTTCAATCACTAGTTCCAACATTTCAAAATGTACAGAATCTGTAAGTTGTATTGACAGAATTGTCATCAAAAATGATGAAAAGAATTATCAATAACTGTCGAAATATTTATCTGGAAAGATAACACAGGATGGAGAACAGCCCATATTTTGTTTGTTTGTTGTTTACACCGCACTCAGCAATATTCCAGCTATATGACGGCAGTCTGTAAATAATTGAATCTTGCCCAGACAATCCAGTGATTGACATCATGAGCATCGACCCACGCAATTGGGATACAATGACATGCATCAACCAAGTCAGCGAGCCTGACCACCCGATCCCATTAGTCGCCTCTTAAGACAAGCATGGGTTGATGAAAACCAATTCTAACCCGGATCTTTAGTGGTTGAGACCACACTATTGCTGGAACAAGCTTTGACCAGTTGAGTTAAGACATTAGTTGTTTTATAATGTGCCCATATCCCATTAACAGTATTTAACACGTAGCATTTAAGTCATATAAGATACTACTTTCCTGAAGTGTATCAAACATCACCCAAACTAAAAGGATGATTTTACTCAAATTTAAAAATGATAAAAATATAAAACATACACATGTGACACAAATAAAGAAAACTCTTGTTAGCCTTAATACAAAGAACACATAATTCAAATAATAACACAACTACACAAGTAAAGCAGACTGGACAACAAGATTAAAAGATTTGCTGGCAACACTAGCAGTGACCGGCAGTGTATGATGTCAGGTATTGATGAGGATGCAGACAGGTAGGTGAGCTGTAGCAAGAGCTGTTAGCTGGTCGTTAGTGCTTCACAAATAAGCAAAAGGTAGTGTAGACAGTCAGTACCAGTAAACAACATCGACTGCTGCAATGTGTTAATACTGCCAAAGGAAATAATAAGTAAAAAGATGCTTTTATTGTTTCAGTATCATCATGAATGAAAGAGATGGTCAATGAAATCTTGATATCTTTAGATAACCTGTTGTTTTTCTTTTTTAATCATCATTACATGACTAACTATACACTTAAAATGAACTTATTTATTCATAACATGTGGCCCTGAAACATGTGCCAGAAGTTTAGTTTTATAATATTGTGAATTCTTACTAAACCTTTGGACCTGATAACATTCAACCTATTTCCCTTAAACGTTTGATAGTTGGTGGATGTGAGACTTGTTTGTTTCGGTCTTCCATCCTCAGTCCTGGTAAATGAACTTTATACAAGAGGTGGGGCACTGCAATTACTAAGACATTACGTTTGTTTGTTGTTACATGCAAAATACATCTTCTATTCAAAAGAATGTAAGGACCACATGATTCTTTCATATTCCTAAAGTTAATCTGTCATATCATGAGGTTTGTTTGTTTGTTTGTTGTTTAATGCTGCACTCAGCAATATTCCAGCTATATGACGGCGGTCTGTAAATAATCGAGTCTGGACCAGACAATCCAGTGATTGATATCATGAGCATCGATCCACGCAACTCGGATTGGATGACATGCATCAACCAAGTCAGCGAGCCTGACCATCTGATCCCGTTAGTCGTCTCTCACAAAAAGCATAGTCGCTTTTCACGGCAAGCATGGGTTGCTGAAGACCTATTCTACCCCGGATCTTCACGGGTCCTCAAGACATTACATTTTGCCTCCCTTAGTTTGGCCAGGATATACAATTTTTCCTCTATTTGATGCCCAGCATAAGCTGTTGACCCAGTGTCTATTATAGTTTGGCGTGTACCATATACACCTTAGTATAGTGCGCACCAAAGTATAATGCGCACCCCCCTCTAGCGGATTCAGTAACTTTAAAAAAATTGAATATTATGCGCAGAAAAAAATTCCACTGCACCCCTTCAGCGAATTCCGGTAAACGAACGGGTGATGATAAACTTGGTCAGTACAAATTTGAAATTTGAGATAAAAAAATCACCAGACATGTTGATTTACCGTTTAAATTGTATTTTTTGTTCTACTTTTCATTGTTTTACATCCAGGGATTAAGATTACCTTGAGTATTTTCTCGTAAACCAAGCCGGACACAGCAATCAGCTGTACACACGTTTTCTTGGAATCTATCGGTGATTCAGTCAAGACACACCCAATGATATAACTTTACAGGATTTTAATGTAAGGATCGGCAAAAATTGTATCTGAAACTATTTTTTTATCAGGAATAATATATTCCAATAACTTGTTATTTTAGTTGCAGCTTTTACTAAATATAATTCAAAATGATTATAACCCTTAGCAAAGCAGCTGATCGCTATTGCCTGTTATTATTTTTCACATGGAACCAGTTTGACCATTCACCATCGAGGCTCCCACTCATGTGATCGCGTGTTGACATAGATTCGTCAAACTATAACAAATACGACTTTTAACGAGTCAAAGCATGGCATTTATGATATATGTATCCATTCTCTGTCGATTAAGGTTCATATCAAGGCGTCAATAGCGGTAATCTGACCGTGGTTGCTGTTAATAACGGTGAGTTGTGCGATCTTCCTATTGCTTCACACACGATTTCACCGAAATTAATTAAAACAATATTAAAAGGAATTTTTAATAAAAATTATGAAATAAGTTACAAACATAAGTCCAGATATACAAAGAACACTTTTTATAACCAGACAGTGTAATTACATGATAAATTTGTACTTCAGTATGGATTTGTTGACATGGTATTTCCAGTGCTACGTGCTCACGGTAATGTCTTTCTGTTGGGGGAAAAAACATCAAGACTCATTATGGCGTGTATAAAGCGCAGCCCCTTCTACACCGAACTTTTTTGGAAAAAAGTGTGCACTATACTCAAGAAAATACAGTATTCTGTTTAATGCTGACTCATTGGCAACTCACTACCTTTCTGAATCCTTAATTATATAATCATACTAAGGGTACATGTGCAGGAACAGGAAAGGGAGTAATTATTACATGCTGTAAGTTCATGTGATGGGGATCATTAGTTTCATCAAATGATGGACCTGGCCTCAATTACAGACCCGACGTCTATTCATTGAAAATAACACCTGAAACGCGCCAATTATAGACCAGCATGGACTGGACTATCGGCCTCTAATAGAGGAAATGTGGTACCCTGATTATTATCCTTAATTCATCAGCATCACACCTGTGTTCACCTGACCTTCCCTCATCCCACATCATGCTGACACACTGTGGTACAACTGAAATCTGTTCATACGAGTGTAATCCCTTACTCCTGTTTAGAGTTGATGCCTAAGAACAAGTAATGAGCAATTGTCCCTAAAACTCAGGTGTAAGACTATCAAACGGGAGACAGAGAAATACTGACTATGGTCCCCAAAAGCGAATAGTCTGTGCTACCTGCAAATTAGGTTCAAAACATGTAACATATTCATGTAAAAGGTCAAGCACCACCCCCTTGTTTATTTTCATCTATGCTAAACATCCTTAAATTTTGGAAATACCTCCACGGATTATTTCTCCATTTGGTTGCAAGGACAAGGTCGTATCACATGACGCAAACCAGCGGAGGTAGCAGCTATACCAGAAGACGACAAAGGGCCATTTCAATGGAACAGTTTACAAGACAGGTGGCCTTTTCAAGAAGCTGTCTTAGCGCTAAGATTGGCATAAATGTGTCGTAGCGAAAAACGTCTTAGCTGAGTATTCGAGAAGCTGTCTTAGCGCTAAGATTGGCATAAATGTGTCATAGCGAAAAACGTCTTAGCTGAGTATTCTAGAAGCTGTCTTAGCGCTAAGTTATCTTAAGTTTAAGACAAGGAAAACCCTTATGAAGTCACAAGAAAACGTCCAACTCTTTCTATCTCCGACAGAAGAGAGCTCCCTGTCTTAGCTGTGACAGCTGTCGAAGTTCAGAAAATAGTTTTATAAATATTGGAAGTTTTTTATATTTTATACAAGTTTCAAAGATTAGAAATATAAACAGGATACTTAAAAGAGGAATAGAATGAGTCTGAATTTGAGTCCTTGACTACTTGTCTCATAGTACTTATCAGTTACTCAAGAACTTGTGTCAACGTTACTTGGTTCAAAGTGCCTGTGTTAAAGTTGCAACTTAACATTGGCCTGAGTTTAGAGCATGAAAATGCAAATATCTAGAGGGTAAAAAATCACTGATATCAACTTCCTTATGCTTGAATATCAGATACCCATGTATTCTCAGGAAAAAAAAGAATATGTAGAATTGGAGGAAATTAAAGAATATATACAAACCCTCAAGGCCCCCTGTGAAATTCAAAGCTCTTTTTCGAGAACATATTACTCAGTGTTTCAAAATTAGCACTTGTTTTTTACAAAATAACAAACTAATTTTGTCATACTTTAATTTTTTTTTATCTGTTAGTGGTACCTACACATTATGTCAACTAGCGTCCGTCTACTTTTGCCTGTCATTTGAAGATGACACACTTCTAAGACACAGTTGAAAATGACGACAATGGACAGTGATTTATTGATTTTCAGACTTGATGAGAACGAAGGTGCCTACTATTTCAGGATGTATTATTTCCCTAGTTTGTTGAGGCGTTGATGGGGATAGATACTACGTAATATACATGAAACAACAAATCATCTGCCTCATGGTGACATCCATCATTTCTGTTGTTACTTGCAATGAAATAAGTACTGAAGTAGCAGGTATTGACTTTCCCACTGATTAACACAAATGGAACAGTACACTAGTGCATGTGACATCAGGCCTTGTTGCATCTTTCAGGAAACATCATCGGTCATCCTTGCGACATCTTTAGTCAGTCTTATCCAAGCTCTGCATCACTTAGCGTTATACATGGAGGTGGGAATAAACCTCATATGGAGTTTTCATCAACTTTTGAGACCTGTGAAGATCCGGAGTAGAATAGGTCTTCAGCAACTCCTGCCTGCCGTAATAGGTGACTATGCTTGTCGTAAGAGGCGACTAACTAGATCGGATGGTCAGGCTCGCTGACTTGGTTGATTAATGTCATCGATCACTTTGAACAGATTTCAGTTATATCACAGTGGGTCAGATACATATAGGATGCTGGTCTCAGGTGATACAGTTCGTATCACAGTGTGTCAGATACATATAGGATGCTGGTCTCAGGGGATACAGATCGTATCACAGTGTGTCAGATACATATAGGATGCTGGTCTCAAGGGATACAGATCGTATCACAGTGTGTCAGATACATAGAGGATGCTGGTCTCAGGGGATACAGATCGTATCACAGTGTGTCAGATACATATAGGATGCTGGTCTCAGGGGATACAGATTGTATCACAGTGTGTCAGATACATATAGGATGCTGGTCTCAGGGGATACAGATCATGGGCATTTGTAACCTTGATGAAACCCACAGTCCTGGTATGGTGTTGCCAAACCAAGGAATATAATGTGGTCAAATCTATGATCCTTGCACTGCTAAGGGGCACAACTCTACCCAACATGTTGCAGCACCTAAGATCACTTGGCTACTGGTAGTTATTATCAGTAACTAATACTGCTGGCCCATGTGACATACATGATATTTTGCTGGTTGTTGACTGGTTTTCCATATAAGTCAACGCAGCACAAAACTCACTTGAACAGTGTTCCCTCGCTATTGCGCCCATCAATATAGCGCTAACTCGGTTACAGCACGTGGTAATGAATGGCTCCCCAAATTTATGTACATATTTAATAAACACAAGTATTGCATTGACATGATGTTTTTTCCCATCACAAAGACATTACCAGCTGATCACTGCGAGCACGCAACACCAGAAATATCAACAACAAATCTGAACTGAAGTCTGCAATTTAATCCTTTTGTTACACTTGTTCAGTGTAATCTGGACTTAAGTTTGTAACATCTTTTATTAATTTTATTAAAAAATTCATTCAATATTGATAACATTTACTTCGGCGAAATCGTGTGTGAAGTGATTGGTAGATTGCAAAACTCACCGTTATTTACATCAACCACGGTCAGATTACCGCTATTGATGCCTTGAAATGGACTTAGTTGACAGAGAATGGATACATAAATGCCATACTTTTGACTCGTTAAAAGTCATATTTATTGTAGTTTGACTGTAACATGTCAACAAAATTTTCGCTATCTCAAGCTTATGTGCCACAATGGTGATTGGTCAAATTATTGACGTCAAAAATAATAGGCAATAGTGGTCAGGTGTACTAAAGTGCTTATGTTATGGTTAATATTATTTTTAACATATATAGTAAAGCTGCAACTAAAACAACACGATATTGGAATATATAACACCTGATAAAACAATAGTTTACGATACAATTCTTCCGATCATTGCATCAAAATTCTTTAAAGTTATATTATTGGGTAACTTTTAACCGAATCACTGGTAGATTGGGATAAAACGTGTGTACAGCTGATTGATGGCTTAGTTTATGAGACAATACACACGGTAATCATGATCTCTGCATATAAAACAATGCCTAGCAGAACAGGAAATACAATTTCAATGATAAATCATCATGTCTACAGATATTTCTTATCTCAATTTTTTCAGTGAATATATGAATCTTTTTTTTCAAACCCTGAAACGGGCAGCGTAGATCGTGTTAGGTAGGCAGACCAAGCACGTAATGTTGGTCATCCACCCTGTACGACTTGACTTTGGCTAAACCGCGTATCGTCTATAACGCTCATCAATCATTTGGACCCCGAGGCGAGGGATCACTGTTTAACTGTTAGGAAACAATACTGTGTAGAACAGATTAAGACAGGTGTTAATAGAGAACAATATTTGAATAGCATGACTACTAAAAGCATCTATGTTATTTCATATCTAACTACAGGTGATCAACCAACCTGGACTGCCAAACGTTTCAACATAGTCATCAATTCGGACTATTTGTTGTGTGTCTGCAGAGAAACAATGGCTATCAGACCACTGGATGTTTTGCGGAATGCATATTCATGGACTAAACCACCCTTCAAAACGAAAGGCATGCATATTCATGGACCAAACCACCCTTAGGACTCCAAAGGTGTTCTGATACATGAATATGCATTAATTTCATTAAAAAGTCCTGTGATCAAACATGTTCTATCAGCAGTTGCGCAATTTCCATTCACAGGTGTCATGAGTTCCATCAACGTCTTACATCAAAGTCTTACATCAACGTCTTACATCAGCACCTCCTGAAGCCCCCACCATCTGTTTCATTGAGGATGTTTGTTGTTCAACGCTACACTCAATAATAATCAAGCTATATGACGGCAGCCTGCAAATTATCAAGTCTGACCAAAAAAAATCCACCGACTGATATCATGAGCAACGATCCACACCATCCCCAAAGAGTGTACTCATCAAACGTAAAATCCCAAATGCTATCTTATCCCTGCTCCGGCCATATGTTTCATCCAACTACTCTGTTCCTGCTTGTCATAAACAAGGAAACCCTGCAAAAGATGACTCACACATTATTACTAGTGCCCACTCCTGTCGTATGAAATATCGGTGATTATAACATGTTCAGTTGACCTACATACAGGACAAAGTGGACGTTGACTTGAATCAAACATGCTATGAAAGTCATTTATCCAGAGCCTAGCACCAAATGTCATTGATATCTCCAATAATCAGAGCTCCAAATAGTTTTTTCAGCCATTGAGTATTTTCAGACAAGTTCTCATTTACTTTGGGTATTTGATATACTTTTACTCCCTTGGAATGAGACTATTTTTAAACCAATGAACCTTATTAAAGCATAATTCTGCTTGAAATGCTGTATCATGTGATTTTTTGTAGCGCCTGCTCGTGTGATGCCTCAAGGGTGTTACATACTGTGTGAGTGAGTGAGTGTGTATGGTTTTACGCCGCTTTTAGCAATATTCCAGCAATATCACGGCGGGGGACACCAGAATTGGGCTTCACACATTGTACCCATGTCGGGAATCGAACCCGGGTCTTCGGCGTGACGAGCGAACGCTTTAACCACTAGGCTACCCATACTGTGTGAGCACAGTGATACATGTCTAAGTTACAAAAAGCTGCATTTGTGCTCATCTCCATAATTGTTGGGTATTTAAACACAGTGTCATATGATTTGATTTTGAATAAAAATGAATTTGGTTCCAAGTGCGAAATCGGCAACACCGGAAGCGCTCGTTAAATCTCCAACATCATCATCATCATAATTAGTTCTGGTAATTTATTTTGCGCTGTTTAAAATGCAAACACACAGCTCACCTGGAGCTCTGATAAACCCAATATCTCATGTTTAGCGATGAAACGTCAACGAGCAACCAGTGACCTGAAGGGTTCACTAATGGCTGCCACTCATGCAAATATCAAGTTTGCCAGGTCATACACAGAGGTAAGCATGTTATCTGACAAGAAAATGCAAATATCCTCTGTGTTCTTTTTGTGTCCCTAACTCTTAAGTAAACAAGGTTTCATTGTATTTTTAACGAATGTGCATTATGAAGTCATAATTTGAAAATTCTCTGACACATGATTTTATAACATGTTCATTAGCTATTAAATTAATCTTTTTTCTTAAAGCTGTAATCCAATGCACTAAGTCTATGGTTATAACATTATTTTTCAGTTTCTGTAAATGTTTGCAGATTTTGTCAATGTTATACATGAAATGTTTCAACTTGATATATAAATACTCCTAGCCAGTGATCAGGTATCTCAATCCTTTAACTTGACTGATACCCCAATACTCAGTGACCAAACTGTTCCCAAATATGTTTACCCATACATCAAACAGGTTTCTCAATCCTGTTTCACAGTGACTCGTACCCGAACATCCAGTGATTAATCCTACACTTACCAAGGGATAAATTCGTACCTTGATAACTTTACCCACAATTACATTGAGACCGTTACCATTTTACCAAGTGATGAAACTGGTATTTAATATAAATTACCTTAAAGTGATCAAATGGCCATCTTAATTCTGCTACACAGGATCAAACTGGTACCTGATTTCACTCACAAAATGTTCAAACATGTACCTCAAAACTCAACTCAACCAGTGATACAACTATTGTACTACTGTCCCAAAAGCATTGTTTTTGGTACCTTAATAAATTAATAAATTTTCCATGCACATAAAACATTTGATATATTAAGCAAGCATCACATAACATGTATCACAACTCTCAAGCTGAAGTTAAATCAACAAACAAAATCAATGTTTGAACATTCAAGCAGAAATAATGATGCTAAAATTATGGACTTAAAACAAAATATCTCACAGACAAAATATTTTGATAGACATTAACACAGAACACTGTAAAAGTATCTACATCATGTACACAAGAAACAAACAAATTATTTCAGTTTATTCTATTATTTATTATTTTTTAAATCATTTTTTATAACAAAAATTCTGTTGCAGTTTACACATTTTGCATAGTATCCTGCTGTACAAAGAGATGACACAGAAGCCATATCATTGGAAAATGAAACCCCGGACTTGTGAACACACGGACCACCAGGCCACCCAACCACCCCTAACTACTGTTGCAAGTGCAACTACCAGTCTGTGAGCTAGACTACATGTTGTGTGAAACAATATATAAGATTTCATGCAAATACTTGTCTACTAATTGGTGATACCTCTCTACATCCATCACTAAGCCCCAGCCGTAACTCCAAGCGCTGATAAAGCTGTGTGGTATGTGTGTATGACAGGGATTCCTTCACAAATGCAACTTAGTACTGCCCTAAATCTGTATTACAGTATTATGTGGGATTAATCATGAGAATAGAACTAGGGTTGCTTTGTTGAAGGAGCTCTGATAGAACCCTGTTGGAACACTGTCAGAACCCTGTTAGAACACTGTCAGAACCCTGTTGGAACACTGTCAAAACCCCATTAGAACACTGTCAGAACCCTGTTAGAACACTGTCAGAACCCTGTTAGAACACTGTCAAAACCCCATTAGAACACTGTCAGAACCCCATTAGAACACTGTCAGAACCCTGTCTGAACCCTGTTAGAACACTGTCAGAACCCTGTTGGAACACTGTCAGAACCCCATTAGAACACTGTTAGAACCCCATTAGAACACTGTCAGAACCCTGTTGGAACCCTGTCAGAACCCTGTTAGAACACTGTCAGAACCCTGTTAGAACACTGTCAGAACCCCATTAGAACACTGTCAGAACCCCATTAGAACACTGTTAGAACCCCATTAGAACACTGTCAGAACCCTGTTAGAACACTGTCAAAACCCCATTAGAACACTGTCAGAACACTGTTGGAACACCGTCAGAACCCCGTTAGAACACTGTCAAAACCCTGTTGGAACTCTAGAAGTCTAGTTAAAACTCCATCCTACAGCATATATGGAAATAGCATACTCCGAAAATATGACCTCCTGTTAATTGATTTATAAATAAAGATGCTGAGAGAAAAACTGTTCGGGATAAAATGTCATCAATTGTTTAAGGGTAGAAAAATATCCATTTGAAAAATCTCGTAAATTTCAGACAGATTTTCATGCAAATGTTATTGCAATCATATGAAAAATATGTGTCAAACTATATATACTAATATGATTTGACTGGCGAGATGTCTGTGTTTAACAGCCCTACTTTCACTTCCCTAAAGTTTTGATAAATACAGACACAGAGTAGCATACCATAACACGAGACAAGACTAATAGAAAACATTCTTGAACATGAATTTAACAATTATTTTGCATCCAATGTGTGACTTCAATGCTCACACCCTAGAACAGGTCCTGATTGTCATGGCAAATAGGATTCACTTGACACCTATATCTTTCCGTGGTCAGGTGATAGAGAGTCTGCCCGGAGTGCAGAAGGTCAGGGGTTTGAAACCCAGCCCTGTCATACCAAAAGACGTTAAAAATGGTACTTTTTGTTACCTTGCCTGAGAGGCAAAAACAAGTACTGGTCGGCTTGAAGTCAGTATACTGTGTCTGAGAGGGGTATTCATGTCAAACAGTGGCATGGTATCTCATTGGGCTAGCACTATAAATAGGCAGTAGTACGAACCAGTACAGGCAGGGGGGGGGGGCGGGCGCGCGCACGCACATACACATGCACGCACGCAAGCACGCACGCGAGGTTTTATCTAACCTCACCTTTCATGCTGACATATTAAGGAGTGCTTACAGTGTAAGCCTGACACTATTTCCATACAGAAGACAAAGATTATTCAGTTTATCTGCAAAGTATCTGGATAGACCAAACACTTACTGGACTGTGTATAATTATTCTGCCTGTTTCTAATCTTATTACTCTCAAAGAGGTCCATTCTCAACAAATAGGTCTTGATCAACAGTATCAACAATAATTTATATCAAAACATATGACACCTAAGAAAAAGAACACTAAAATGAGTAACAGTTATAAAATAAAACAATATCCATGAAAACAAAAATCATACATCTGCTTCAGTGAAACATGACTAATCTTCATTTTTCTCAACTGATACATATAATAAACCCAAGAAAAAACTATCTACATCACACTTTATTTGAATGTAGGAAAAAGGTCCCAAACAAGACCATATGGTTCCATTAATGTCAGTTCTTTGACCAAGGTTGATCCTGACAGAAATATTCGAATACTCAGAGAACATTTACCCTGTGCAGTGCAGCTTACCAATCTTGATATTTAAAATCTTCCCAATGGGCCAAATTAGATTCTTTTCTTTGGACAAAGCAATGATGTCTTACTACTAACCATAAACGATATGATCCTTCTTCTGATCTAGCATATTCCAAGGACGTACTACATCAGCTTCAGATACTTTCAAGTATGTTATTCAATTCTTTCTTGCTAATGACTTACAGTATTAACTCACCCACAAGTAATATAGTACAGATTAACTTAAGCCTAGAACATGGGTTCGAAATTTGACCTCATTTGTATTTATTTTTAAATTTATATAATGTTGTAGAAAAGTACCCCACTAAGGAACCTTGAACTTCCTGAATACTACATATTTTGTGTGAATGAAGCAGGTCATAGGCAAGAAACAGAAGGGGGCATGGTCCAGCTTACCATAGTCCATTTCTGTTTAAGATATTAAGATAAAAAGAGAAACAAACAAATTGTGAAAATATGTTGAAGTTATGTTTTTACTCCAAAACAAATCACATGTGTAAAGCTCAATGCAAAAGCTTCAGACCTGCTTATTACTTGACAACAATAATAATGGCCACTCGAATGATATAGAACATATTTAAAAGCAAATCAATAGGTTTACATCTATCAGCTACCAAAGTAAAATTGCAAACGAAAAATAAAAGAAACAAAACACATAAAATAACAAATAACACTGTCTCTGATAGCAATATGTCCTTCTTTGTGTTTTAGGGGTCTAATTGAGACAAACACTTGGACGCATAGGAATACAAGGTACAGAAGCTCACCTATATTACTTAAAATAAGACAAAGGCTGGGGGATATGCAAAACTAGCAGTTACTTCTTCACTGCCCACTTCAAAGACACAGTCATCTTCTGAGTGAGTGAGTTGGGTTTAACGCCGCTTTTAACAGTATTCCAGTTATATCGCGGCGTGTCAGCTTAATGTGGGAGGAAAGCCCAAAGTGATGCAGGTCCCAGAAGTTTACCACTTCGGTGAAACCCATGAGCACGGGTATGGTGCTGACAAACCTAGAAACATAATCGGGGCGAACCAGGATTCGAACTCACAATCATAGGTTTCTGGCATGGTCAAGGGACGCAACTCTGCACAGCGAATCGCAGTGCCTTAGACGACTGGGCCACATGTGCCCCTGTCATCTTCTGATCTTTTGGTAATAATTGTTTTGTGAACGGCATCAATATTATGCTTCCTACCAGAGCCACAAAGCATTGTTTACAAATACATAGTTTCCTCCTATAGCGACATTGTCATAAGAAATCTTTGTTGACAGCCGAGTCTGTTGTACGATTCCAATCACTAACAAAAACTTTTCAACATCACGTAAAGTTTAAGCTATTCTAACCAATTAGGAGTCACGTAATTGTATCTCTTGAAAATTATCATAAAATATCACACACCAAATAATAAGCAAACATACAGCTTATGACCCATGTAAATTTTTAATTAATGATTGCACATGATTTAATGATCATGAAGTGTTGCACTTGCCCTCCCGTTGAATTGACTTCTCTGAAAGTCATCGTCACCAGAATGTATGCAAAACTCCAGCAAATACTGATATGGTTTGCAAGGTTTTATTGTGCTTCTAGTCCAAAAGTAGGAATATATGTGTGTATATCTTCATTTGTGACAGCTGCAACATGTAGAAAACTTCCTTAACTAATGACCTTCAAATGTCTTACAACCACACATTTAGGGGCTATTCTGCACATCAAGTCAGGGTGTCTATTGTATACGATGCTATCAAAACTGTGTGATATATATATCTATTATGTATTGCATTAATCATGTTTTTGTTTATGTTGCTGCTGAGATTCTTATGTTGCAAGAATTTGTTGAAAACTTCTTTCCCTCAGGTTAATAAATCCTTCATCTTAATACACGAGGGAGAGAGAACTCGGCACCATGAGATGGGAATATTGACTGACATCTGCATGTTCTTAACAGTTATAAACAAGATGTCATCACTTTTATCAGAAGAGATTATGTTTCTAGGTTTGTCAGCACCATACATGGGCTCGTGGGTTTCACCAAAGTGGTAAACGTCTGAAACCTGCATCACTTTGGGCTTTCCACCCACATTAAACTGACACGCCGTGATATAACTGGAATACTGTTAAAAGCGGCGTTAAACTCAACTCACTCACTCACTTTATCAGAAGAGTATAATTATCAACTTTTAGTTTTACAGTTGGTTACAAAATCGCCATTGCTAGTATCTGCAAATTACATCAGTGAAAAGGGTAAGTAATTGTTTTAACAGTCACTGTTTTCAACACCCATAATATCTTCCTCCATCATTTGCATGTGATTTCAGAACTATAACTGCCTTTTTGTAGCTTTCGATGAAACACATCTTTAAGCAATGTAAAGTTGAATAGCTCGTATCTAAATATGTCTGTCAATGAAAGGTATTTGGTTTTGTTTGCATGTTTGTTGTTTAACGCCACACTCAACAGTATTCCAACTGTATGATGGCAGCCTGTAAATAATGAAATCTGGACCACACAATCCAGTGATTGATATTGAGAACAACAGTCCCACCTTCGGGGATGATGACACATACTCAAGTCACCCAGTCTGACCAACTGATCCATTTGGTCACATTTTAAAAATATTTATTTATAGTGCTTATGTTTGGTTTGAGAAAGTGTTAATGACAAACATATCTTTTCAAACATGGTCAACAAAAATATTGTAAAACAGGTTTTAATATCGCCATGGCAACAATGAGCAACATTTTTGGTATTGTTTGACTGATCATGTGTTTTTCACTTTTTCTAACCATCTGGAGTTTGGTGCCTCTCTGGCCAGTCTTGAGATGAGCTGTAAATATACAATCACAGTCTGTCCAAACTGTTCATCTATCATAACAAAACGTAATATATACAGTCTGTATTACTTGTCACTACCTGGGTCGAGTACACTGCAATCACTAATTAAAACTTATCAATCTCCTATTAATGCCTCACTTTCTCTTGTCTTTGCAAAGGGAATGGTTTTACAACCCAAATAGTGCACACATCATAGTGAGTGAGTATGGTTTTACGCCGCTTTTAGCAATATTCCAGCAATATCACGGCGGGGGACACCACAAATGTGCTTCACACGTTGTACCCATGTCGGGAATCGAACCCGGGTCTTCGGCGTGACGAGCGAACGCTTTAACCACTAGGCTACCCGACCGCCCCACACACATCATAAACAAATTAGATGTAATTATCCATTAACAGTTGTCACTGAGGGAATCGGGTATGATTGTCTAGAACATTGAATAGATATGATTGTGTTAAACAGAAAATGATCCGTTATCACTGTACAAATATATATGTCAAGAAGAAGACTTTTTATATCTCTTCCAAGGAAATGAAGAGAAAACTTGCTAGCATAGATACCAAAAATATTACTATATGAAAATATAAGTACATATTACACTCATTATTCATAAACGCATTAGCTTGAAATACAATGAGATAGGGCCTAAGGCCAGGGTGATAATGACTATGGATATCCATAACAGTCATTTAAATGTGATATGTTAGTTATTATTAGTCATGTAACTGACAAGGCTGGTCGTTCCTGGTTAAACAGAGCCTCGCGGTCGTTAACACTACAGTTCATTGTGATATTCCTGTTCAGCACACATAGTCAATAGTTTCTGGTAGAAACTGAATCTAGAATCTAGTGTGTGGTGTGGTGTGGTGTGGTGTGGTGTGGTGTGGTGTGGTGTGGTGTGGGTGGGTGTGGTGGTGTGGTGTGGTGTGGTGTGGTGTGGTGTGGTGTGGTGTGGTGTGGTGTGTGGTGTGGTGTGGTGTGGTGTGGTGTGGTGTGGTTTGGTGTGGTGTGGTGTGGTGTGGTTGGTTGGTTTGTTGTTTAACGCCGCACTCAGCAATATTCCAGCTATATGACGGCGGTCTGTAAATAATCGAGTCTGGACCAGACAATCCAGTGATAAATATCATGAGCATCAATCCACGCAATTGGGATTGATGAAATGCATCAACCAAGTCAGCGAGCCTGACCACCCGATCCCGTTAGTCGCCTTTTACGACAAGCATAGTCACCTCTGACGGCAAGCATGGGTTGCTGAAGACCTATTCTACCCCAGAATCGTGTGGTGTGGTGTGGTGTGGTGTGGTGTGGTGTGGTGTGTGTGTGTGTGTGTGTGTGTGGTGTCCACTGAAATCTGTTCTGCTAGCTTTGCACAAGGGACATAACTCTCACCATCTCACATCTCTCACAGGTATGGTTATGTAAGATGAAGCAGATGGGTTTGGCCAAAACGAGAAAGGCATAATTGCAATCACTTGGTTCTTTCCCAACCATTCATATCCATGAATGGTGAGGTTGTTGATGGTATTCTAGCAGCGCAGCAATCAAATGTACTGAAGCATGGTGACATTGTGGTAACATTTAAGAAGTGACATCAATATTTTTGGGTGTTTATGGAGGAATAAACGGAAAAAGCTTGTACACTGTATAATTCCAGATATTAATAAATTAGTCAGCAAATCTTTTTGTAGGCAACAAAACAAAATCAGTGACATCAATCAGCGCATTAATGCAACACAAGCCCCACCCACTGTATTATCAAGAAACAATGTGGCCAATAGTTTTTTAGGTTTGGGGAATAAGAATGCAACAAAAATTGCTATGGATTCACTTGCAATTTATTTATGACGTCTTCCATCAAAAATCCTTGTAGTGTACTCTGATTGCAAAGACTTCCTGACAAAGTCATACAGCGCCAAAATTGTGTATCGAATAGATCTCACACTTTTTCAACAACTAAAATATGAAAACCTTACTTCATTGTAAACGTATCTCCTGAAAGAAATACATCTAAAATGTTCGCTCGATTTGATAATCTCAGTGGATCATGGGAAAAGTTGATCAAGTTCTGTGCTAATGGATGACAAACAAATTAGCTGTACATAAGCTCAGATTGACAATGTCAAATGAGCTACAAAATGTTTTCTGATTAAAGTGTTGACATAGGATAAGGCACTGTTTATAGATGATGTAAAGCGTTTTCCCCAATGACTGTGTTCATATGGCACTGTGTATACATTGCAAAGTACTGTTGATATGTGTAGGAGAAACCATGTCTCCGAGGGATTACTAGAGAGTGTAAACCCTCACATGAGGGACGTTCCTGAATGTGAGGGTTTACAATCTCTAGTAATATCGCGGAGACATGGTTTGTCCAACTTATAAACCGACTCATCGCATAGACAACGTTTTTAATGAAATAACTGTAATAAAAACTCTCAAATGTATAACCTGTATCGGAGATGAAATATTGCCTGCAGTCGTAAACTCGGTTCAATAAAACCGGTGACCTCAGCATGTGGGTTTTGCAATGGTGCAAAATCTGCACGTGCATCGCAATGGCACGAAATCTGCACTTGCGTCTCGTAGGCTGTTCATAGTTTTTGTTCTATCAAGGGTTTACAATTATTGTTACAATCGTTGTAATACCTCCTGCGAGGTGTTACAATCGTTGTAATACCTCCTACGAGGTGTTACCACAATTTCAAAAACTCCATATCGAGTTACACAGTAAGTAGGTTTATAAAGCATGGTATACCACAGTATTCACAGTAACATAGAACATGTTTCCTTAGGGTAGCATTGATAGAGCATTGTGTAGACACAGTATCATCTGTGCTCCATGTAATACTTACCCATAGCTATCCTGTATGGCAGCTCACCAGCACAGTCATTCGGCACCAATGGAGCACACTTCCGATGACAGTTGAACTTGCAATCTGAAAGGAAAGATATTTTCATCAAAGGCACATTAGATGATGATTTAGTAGCATAGCAACAGATGTAATATGGCCCCAGGTTTTATAATACCCTCATAGGAGGAAAATATTTAGTATCTTGTTTTACAAAGAACCATTGCAACAAACCCAAAACATATCGTGAATATTTGTTTGTTTCTTTTGTTGTTTAACGCCGCACTCAGCAATATTTCAGCTATATGACGGCGGTGTGTAAATAATCGAGTCTGGACCAGACAATCCAGTGATTGACATCATGAGCATCGATCCACGCAATTGGGATCGATGACATGCATCAACCAAGTCAGCAAGCCTGATCACAAGATCCCTTTAGTCGCCTCTTAGGACAAGCATAGTCGCTTTTTACGGCAGGCATGGGTTGCAGAAGATCTATTCTACCTATAGAAGATCTTCATGGGCTACATATCGTGAATATTTTATCATCTTACGTACTTTTGTTTCTGCTTTCATTTGGAAATGTACATCAAATGAACACTGACATCATATTTAAACATATTGCTGCCTTTAGGTGTATTGATAAAGACAATCCATGAAACAAGGTGAGGTGAGGTGAGGTGAGGTGAGGTGAGGTGAGGTGAGGTGAGGTGAGGTGAGGTTTAACGTCACGTCGATTATTGCACTTAAAAAGCGACTTGCATGCACGTGTGTGGGGGGGGGGGACTGCTTGAACTAGTCCTGACTGATGCCGATTTATAGTGCTAGCCCACTGAGATACCATGCGCAGTTTAACATGAATACCCCACTCAGACAAAGTATACTGACTCCGAGCCAACCAGTCCTTGTTTTAGCCCCTTAACCTTAATGTCAAGCGCCAGACAGGGTAACAACAAGTACCATCTTTGAACGTCTTTTGGTATGATGCGGCTGGGGATCGAACCCCAGACCTTCCGCTCTCCGGGCCGACACTCTGCCTCTAGACCACGGAGGCGGTCCATGAAACAAGCACTTATGTTGGTCCTTCAGTTAATCAGAGTATAATGTTATTTGTTATGGTGTCTTTAGTCGCCCAATGTTTTTCTGCTAACCTAATATGCACCATATACAGCAACTAAAGACACCATAACGAATTTATTATGCTGAAAAGTTTACACCATCTGGTATCCATATTGCACATGTCATGTCAATATGAAAACTTAAAGACGCTAAGGCTCAAAGGGAGACTACTCTTCAAACCTCAGAGGCCAAACCTTGTTGATAATTTTAATTTTATATAATCTATATTAAAGTCACAAACGTGATCCAAAAAACCCATTAACGTCCTTGCATATCAAAATTATTGATATTTAAATACGAAACAGTGTCGAATAACGAATTTCTGTACCAGAATTTTCATATATGTCAAATATGTGAGGTGGGTGTTGGAAAATCCAAAATGTCTGTTACTGATGGTATACGGTCTCATATTAGGTCAGTGACAACTATCTTGGATTTTTACTGGCAGTATACGGGCTCATATAGGGTTAGTAGTTCTGCACTCTGATTGGTCAATCTCACTTTGAGGCATAATAATATTCGTAATGGTGTCTTTAGTTGCCGTATATGGTGTCATATTAGGTTAGCAGAAAAATATTGGTCAAATAGTCTTACAGCAAACCTGTCAAAACAAATTCAACATGTCTGCCTGATAATCAGCAGTATTCAATAACAAAATCATTAAGAGAAGATTTGATTTCGGTTCCATTACCATGACAAAATGGTTGCAATTTATTGATTTTAAAACATCATCAAATTGACAACACTTAAACAACTATCCTCACTGTAAAATCAAGGCTTGGGATAGATACAGTTAAGCATCCTAATAACAATACACATTTCTACAAGCATCCACTTCGTAGTTAAATAAGAAATGATCAACTGTTCTCCAGCAATACAGAACAGACAAGTTGACACACAGACAGACAAACATTACAGGTTACTGGAAACTATTTCAGTTTAAAAAGAAAGCCTTTGAAAATTCTCCTTCAAGCTGGTTCCATGAGTAAAGTAATATATCATTCCGTGCCTCATCATTCATACATGACTCCTTTGACAAAGCGTGCTCACAGAGAGACAATACCAGCCCAACTCTTCAGAATAATCTGAATGTCTGTTCTCTGTGATCATTGAAGCTGAGTTATAAATGTCAAGTTAGTTCAGTGCGACTATAACCTTTACATAAACATAAATAGTAGAAAAATAGCCGAGTGGTCCTCGACTGCGAGGAAAACAAGTTGACATAATTGAAGACTAAGAGTGACAGGCCGCTTGCTTTGTTGAAAATTAGAAGTTACATAATGCATTTCCATTTTCTTTCTTTGTCAGCCTTCTCCTCAAAGGATGTACCCTCGTCACTGTGGTGCCAAACGTACTGCACTAATTACAAGCCACTGTAATTGATGAGGTAGGGCATTGACTTTCATTGCCACCGGCTGATAGTTTTGTCTCGGTTCAAAGATGTTATGTAAGAAGCATGTCATTGACAGAAAAATCAAAAGAAAGACATCTCTTGTTGGTTCAATGTGTGAAGGATTTTTCTTGTATATAGTGAGTGAGTATGTATTTACGCCGCTTTTAGCAATATTCCAGCAATATCACGGCGGGGGACACCAGGAATAAATCTGCCCCTGTCACATATACATGAACTTGGTCTTACAAACAATAAAAGTAACATACCAAAAGCTTTGTCTGTGTTCTACTTCAAATACAATCAGTATTATTGTAAGCACTGCAATAACATCAGCGAGTTCATGGATGTAGATGACAGACTGTTGCTGTATGCAGCAGTCACACAATAATCAGGCTGGATCACTATGGCCTGCAAGTACCAGAGTCTGGACCAGAACAAGGAATCATGTAGGTGAGCTGATGGGGTTTAAAGTTGGGTTCACAATTATACAGTGACGAGCATGCATGGGTGTCTGTCCATCTGTCTGTTTGGTTGTCTCTCTGTCTGCCAGTGTGCGTGTGGCTGCTTGTACTATTCCAGACTAATGCCTGCTGTATAGTTGGTTGGTTGGGTGGTTTTTTGTTTAACGCCGCACTCAGCAATATTCCAGCTATATGACGGCGGTCTGTAAATAATCCAGTCTGGACAAGACAATCCAGTGATTAATATCACCATTGGGATCGATGACATGCATCAACCAAGTCAGCGAGCCTGACCACCCGATCCCGTTAGTCGCCTCTTACGACAAGCATAGTCACTTTTTACGGCAAGCATGGGTTGCTGAAGACCTATTCTACCCCGGAATCTTCACGGGTCTGCTGTATAGTACTCGCCAAAAGTGACACATTGGTGCAGTATAAAAATACCCTACTCATGTGACCAGTTATCTCCTTAAAGCCAAGCACCAGGCAGGGTACCATTTTGTTTTCTATGACACAGCCAGGGTCCAATCACCAATAGGGCAGCTCCTGAAATATCCTCGATTATTCAGCGAATCACATCTCCATTCCATTATGATAAATACCCTGAACTAGAGCTGGGACAGGTAACTCGGGTACTCGAGTCGGGTGAGTCCTGAGTAGGACGCCTGTACCCACAGGACTACCTGGACCTGTGGTTAGTCATGTGATAATGGTTAAATGAAAATAACAATAAAATTCCATGGTTACACTAAAACAAGTCGCTAATGTTCGCATTTCATTCTGACTATGGGCACATTCCTTCTGACTCTTATATGTTTGAGTAAAGACAAAGCTTCAGTCAACTTCAGTGTAAACACAATCAGATCGGTTTATACTATATCTAAACACTTTTTGCCAGGGCTCCAGTATAACAATTCCCAATTGAACATATTGTGCCCAACTTATGACCTACAGAAGGTACCCGGGTAGGGGCGGGTAATAGGGCTGCGGGTACCCGGGTAGGGGCGGGTAATAGGGGGGTGGGTAACCGGGTAATATATTTGGACTAGTCCCAGCCCTACCCTTTTGTCCCATTCACCACCAAATCTTCATTTGAGTCTCATTTGTGTTGACTTACAAAAGCAATCAACTCAAATCATTCCATATATGGGCAGCAACATTGTCACAAGTAGCTGACTCATGTTATTATTGACCGCCTCCGTGGTCTAATGGTAGAGCGTCCGCCCGGACGGTATCTCAGTGTGCTAGCACTATAAATCGGTCCGGACTAGTACAAGCAGCCACACACACACACATACACGTGCATGCACGTCTCTATATAAGTGCAAAAATCTTGGACGCGACATTAAACCCCATTTCACCTCACCTCATGTTATTATGTACCATTTTAACTACAACTTGGAACACCTGAAGACCAATACCCCATCCTAACACACAAGAAAGTATCTTTTCAAGCTGTTAATTCTGATTCATAGTTTCCTCTTCCATCAGAAACATATCAAGGGCTTTGTCAAGGCTGAGTTCAACCCTACCAGCCACAGAAATTCTGTTCTAGGTTAGCGATACGGGAGATGGGAACTGTGACAATCTCCAACAAAGCTTTGGTGGGGTATGGGTCCTGGGTATGTTGAGATATGAATAAATTTGATGATTGAGGATATAACAGCTAAGAACAACTATGAGATGAAGATTTATGAAGATCAAAAACTGTTTTCTGATCTTGCAACTTTTTTTCTTGTCCCCAGTTGTAAGCTCATCCTGACAAACCTTGAAAGACGCATGTGAGTGAGTATGGTTTTACGCCGCTTTTAGCAATATTCCAGCAATATCACGGCGGGGGACACCAGAAATGGGCTTCACACATTGTACCCATGTCGGGAATCGAACCCGGTCCTTCGGCGTGACGAGTGAACGCTTTAACCACTAGGCTACCCGACCGCCCCGAAAGATGCATGTCCTTATGACCTTACACTCTCAGTCATGTCAGAGTTACATGACAGAGGCTGTGTGAGTGAGATATTGGAGCACTGAAGTTGTCAGTTTATTCAGATGTTGGAGTATCAAGGTGTCTGTTTACACAGGTGCCGGAGTACTAAGGTGTCAGGTTACTGATATGTTGGAGTACAAAGGTGTCAGTTTACACAGATGTTGGAGTACTAAAGTTATTAATCTTGTCAGGTGTTGGAGTACTAAGGTGTCAGTTTATTCAGATGTTGGAGTACTAAGGTGTCAGTTTATTCAGATGTTGGGGTTCTAATGTCTTCAGTTTATTCAGATGTTGGGGGTACTAAGGTGTCTGTGTTTTCGGACGCTGACCAGTGAAGATCCGGGATAGAATGGGTCTTCACAGCAACCGATGCTTACCATAAAAGGCGACTATGCTTGTCGTAAGAGCAACTAACGGGATCAGGTGGTCAGGCTTGCTGACTTTGTTGATGCATGTCATCAGAGATGTGGTCCGGACAAACATATCATTATGAACACAGTCAAAGTCAAACTTATTGCCATGGAAACAGGAAAATTGTTAAAAGGCAAAAGGCACCACCTCAGCCCTTGATTAATACATGTACCAGGTTTGGAGGAACAGTCTTTCACAGTCTTTAAGTTGTGCTCTGGAAACGAAATCCACCACCCCATTTTGAAACTAAATCCAAATTGTTTCCATGAAAACCGAGAAATATGAATATACAAAAAATCTGCAAATAGCAAAAGACACCACTTCAAGATCTGTCTGATATATCTGCCAAGTTATATTGAAAGATATTGAACAGTTTTTCAGTTGTGCTCCGGAAATGAAATCGACCCCCTTTTGAGACTAATTAAAAATTGTTTTCGTGGAAATTGAGAAAAATATATGCAAAAAAAATCCTTAAATTGCTAAAGGCACCACTACAGGATCATATATCTGCCAATTTGTGTTAAAAATATTGAATGGTTTTCGAGTTGTGCTCCGGCAATGAAATGATTAAGGATGGACAGACAGGCGGATGGACTGATGGATGGAGGACGGACGGACGGGCAAACAGATGAAGCGACGACTATATTCCCCAGCATTATATCCCAGGTGGATAACAATATAAGACATGATCTACTTGTGTTTCTATCAAGAAATTCAGCAATTCACAAACATCCTTCTGCAACTCAGCTCAGACTCTACGGAAACATAGAATAGTTATTTTGTCTGCGACTTCCTGCATTGTGTCATAACAAACATGTCACCTCCTCCATCAGACACCTATACCAAAGGTTCACAACACAGTATAATTCCAGTTTCGGGTAGGATTGTCAGACACCACCATTAAGTCAAATTAGCTTGGGAGGGATTTCGGATGCACTGTTTCAAGTACAAAATGACATAACCCTGATTGTCTTCTAATCACAGCTCCAGGCTACACCAGTGGAAAGACATTCGTAAAGATGATGCATGGAACAGCAAGTCTGTTTAAAGATTAATTGAGGGCACAGCTCGGTCAGCCTGACATGCATTAGGTCAGTATTAAAGGGGAGGGAATATGTGCCACCATCAGTTGATCTAATGGACACAGGGTCACTCACAAGTGTGTCTTTGTTAACAAAACAGACGACCACAGTGATGGAGGAAACATTGGCAAATGAGAAAAGTTATGTATGTGACCTTGTTCGATATACATATAAATCCATATACATACCGTATTCGACGTAATAAGCGCCCACAGAGATATTTGCTAAAATATTGGCTAGTGAACAATCGCAATTAGCACCCCTTCCGATTGATCAGTGTACACAAGACTTATTTATTCGCGTTTAATACACACTCGTGTGTTATATGCACCCTTAATTATGGGCAATTAAATTCTGGAAAAATATATCTGTCGTATATAAACATTTCAGGCTGTCAGCATAAACCACTAAATTTATCCTTTAACTCTGTTTTTTTCACCAAAATAATATTCTAATAAGAGCCCCCTATTTCCAATTTTTAGAGCGCCCTGGGCGCTTATTACGTCAAATACGGTAATCTCGGATAAAAAATCTTTCCAACTTCTTGAAACTATTGAATGATGGTATTGTGTCAATCTAATAACTAGAATATTGTTCATGACCTTGTTCGATATATAAATCCACATAATAATCTGTGATCAAAATTGATTGCCACTTCATAGCCTATTCGAATAATACTTTTGTGTCAACCTTGGCATCCTGTCTAGGTTTTAAATCCAGTGCTGTTGTTGAACTGTAAATAGCATCTAATGAGACCTTGCATGAAGGTGACAACCCCACAAGAGGGCTGAACTCCTCAAGTGGGTGTGTTGTAACACTTGCCTGTGAAGCAAATCAGTGGATGTGTATGATATACACAAGGTCAAGTCTCGTCATTTAGAAGCGGGAAGATCATGAGGACATGAAACTCTGATGGATAATGACTTCTGTATTATTCGTGACAATATTTCAGGGCTATTCCTTGCCCCTTCATCTGATGGAGGGACAAGAAGTGGTCACTGATCGTTTGAGGGACCCACGACAAATGTCTTTCAAGACATCCAGTAAACACCATTTCCCCCCCCCCCCCCCCCCCCCCATTATATTTAAAAACATTGAAAAACAAGGGCAAAAGTGGGCGTGGCTCACTAATACCCCCTGACCCGCCTAGTGTGTCAGTAGTTTCAAATTAAATAATGGATAGGGTTAGGGTTTGAAAAATTCATAAAAAAATGGAAAATTAATAAAAACATTTTTTTTCTTTTGACTGCACCCCTCCATATGACACAGATTATATGTACTAAGTTTGAGATGAATCCACTGAATAGTTTAAGAGAAATCTCGCGGACAAAGTTTTCGGACGGACGGATGGATGGACGGACGGACGGAGGGTATAATAACCCTCTTCTTAAAAGGGTGAGTGAGTGAGTGAGTGAGTGAGTGAGTGAGTGAGTGAGTAAACTAGTGGTTGATAAAATGATAAATTAACCATGCTGTCAACAGGGATTATCCTGGAAATTTTTACATATGAGAGAAAATCTCCCCTGGTCCAAAAGCAATGAGACTTTTTGGCGTGTGATGAGATTTTGCTAATTTTCAGAGATATTTCATCTTCACACAGTGGATGTTTGGTACTTGTGACTCAAATAATGCTGCAAGTAATATTACCAGATAATATAGATATATCCTCGGATATCCTATTTTCGCACATTAATCATTCCACTGCAAATACATGTATTTAAAAATATTAGCATTAGTATTAACAAAATATTACATTTGACTTATATTTCTGTTCATTGTCTACTTTAGGAGAAATGACACTTATATTTATGTATTTCTGTTCACTGGTGACTTGATGGGGAATAATTCGCGAGGACAATTATAGATCGTTTAGGTTGTTTACCACCATCAGCTGTTCATTTTGTTGGCATGCAGGAGACAACAAACTGCAGTTGTCAAATTTCGTCAATGTGTGTTTAGATCGTAATTCAGTATATTTAGAGTGATGACATGAAATAGCGACAAAAAAATGGCAAAAAATATATTATTTACATTCCAGTGCTTTCATCAATTTCGCCGTCTTTTTTTCCGTCTGAAGTGTGTACCATATCAGTGGCCGGGTCTCTGACCGTATCAAACAAAATCCTATCAATATGGACTTTTCAATTGATTAGAAGTGACAGTTCATAATACAATGACTATTGCTCCAGGTTCATCCTGTTGTTTAATTAGCAACAATTAAGTCATTTATTTCACACAGAAGGCAGCGTGTTTGCCATGAGCAGCAGCCAGAAAATGTTTACGAGTAACCGGAAGTTGAAAAGACTGTTGACATTCACGATGCTTAAGAGTTACATTTCAATGATTAAGTCACAGTTTTCAATTTGTATGGACAAATTTGGAAGCAAACATATCGTAGCATATTCTAAAAAATCTAAATCCAACTTGCTGTTTGGCCACTAGAAATAGTTCAAAATTTGTAATTCACACACGGTGGCCATTCTTGCATGAGGGTACGTTCATGAAAACTCTTCCACCAGTGCCGTCACTGGCTGGGCAAATCTCATCTAAAACACGATTTGCTCGTGTTTTGAAACTTTACCTGTGATTGCCTTATATTCTTTTGATTTCTGAACGGACACACATACATGTAGATCAACGTCTTAGATTTCTGCTAGGATTTAAGTCTTAAAAAATATGCTTAATGACTTGGAGTTGTAGAATACGTGAGCTACCGAAGTGTTTAATTCGTTAAAACAAATCGTTTTGCCAATCGGGGATAAAAAAATGTTGCACACTCCACCATTGTCAGCTGATGCAAAGCTCCATGCAGTGATATAGGAATAGGTTATGCACACAGTAAGAGATAGCATGCAATGTTGTGAGTATGCAAATCGCTGTTTCGATTGACAAATTTTGACGATTGAATAAACTAGCGTGTAAGTTTTTTATTGACATTTTTAGGTACCGTAGATCAAATTATTCAAGCATATTTTTATTTTTGCAGGTGAAAATGAGTGTTAATGGAGATAAATCTACTGAAAGATCTACACGATTTTCAATCGCGCTGATTGAATGTTGATGTGATATCTTCGACGACTATGCAAGAATATGGCGGAATCGTGGTCTAAGTCAATCTCTGTGTCAAACAATGTGACCACTTGAGCCAAATTCTAGTCAAGCATGTGACATGAGATATATATTCTGACCTAGAATCCCTATTCTGTTGCCGTGGAAACTATCAACAGGCACCAGTTCACCACTAGACCAATCTCTGCACCAAGTTTGGTGAAGAAATATTGTACGTTTTGAAAGATCTGATTCAGAAATAAGCACTACTGCCATTTCCAGTCAAAGTTGTTGCCATGGAAACTCGAAAAATGTTTTTGTCGAAAATCCCAAACTACCAAAAGGCACTAGTTCACCACTTGACCTATGGACAGACGGACAGACTGATGGACAGATTGAAGGTGTCCATTTTAATACCCATCGCAAAATGCATTGTGAGGGATAACAATCAAGTCAAAGTTCTAGACCAACCAGTCCATACCTTTACACTGCATTCCTTGTCTGAAAAGGCCTTTGAGTAGTCGCTTGCACCACTGGCACACGGTGGGGCGGGTGTAGTTGTGGACGATGAACGTGTGAGGCACCTTGATGCGTTTGGCGAACTCCCTCTCCTGCCACATGGGGCGGCCACTCCAGGACTTGGACCGACCACTCCCTGGGGAAGGGGGAGCGGTAGGACTCGGCACATTGAGGAGATTCTGTGACAGCAGAGGGGACAATTATACACAGTCAACATTTTGACATAAATAAGTGTACAGACGTAGGACTTAACACCTTCAGGAGGCCCTGTGACAGACGACACTGATGATACAGAGTGAGAGAGTGAGTTGGGTTTAACGCCACTTTTAACAGTATTCCAGTTATATCATGGCGTGTCAGCTTAATGTGGGAGGAAAGCCCGAAGTGATGCAGGTCTCAGGCGTTTACCACTTCCGTGAAAGCCAGGAGCACGGGTATGGTGCTGACAAACCTAGAAACATAATTTGGGTGAAACAGGATTCGAACCCACAATCATAGGTTTCTGGCGTGCCCAAAGGATGCAACTCTGCACAGCGAATCGCAGCGCCTTAGACGACTGAGCCACCCGTGCCCCCTGATGATACAGAGATGAAAATAACAAAATCATGAATATAGAAGTCCATTTAGCACATTCAGGAGGGTCATTGACTAAACATGGTGATTTCAGTTCACATCTTGTTACCCAGTGAGTGATTTGGGGCTAAATACCTCTTCTAATAGCACTTAAGTTATGTGACAGCATCTCTCGGTGACAAAGGTCATAAACAATCACCACAAACATCAATAGGTGCCGACACAAGGGTCCTGTCAGGAGTCCAAACCCACCATCAGCAGAACCTGGGCCCACTTGCACAAAGCAATCTTAGCGCTAAGACTATTGTAAGCCTATGTTAAAGTATGGGAGTTACGATCATCTTAGCACTAAGATTGTTTTGTGCAATTGGGCCCCGGGCCCCGTTCCACAAAGCCATCTTAGCGCTAAGGTGATCGTAACTCCCATACTTTTACACTGGCTTACGATAGTCGTAGCGCTAAGATCGCTTTGTGGAACGGGGCCCTGGTGGCTAATGGAAAAACCTGAGGCTTTCTGATCCTGACCTATCTAAATATTCTTTCTTCATCAGCCATCGTAGACACCCAGTCCACACTTTTTATGTGGTCTTACAATAAACATGTGGTATAACATGGACCTTTTCTTTTGACAATAAGTTTCAGAGGACTGAAGTACGTTCTAGGGGTCATGGTACAAATGTTTCTCAAGCAAATTGATCCCAAATTTCAGCAAACAAACTCTTACGTCTTTGTCATTCAGGGCTGGCTCTGGTAAAGGCAAAGTGAAGGACACATTGGACGACACACTCCCCGAGGACTGGCGTCGATAGCGTTGATGGTTGCAGTTGTTCGGGATCTTGTAGGCACAGCGCTTGTGGAAATTCTGTCCACAGCCTAAAATATACATTCAAATCAATCTTCATGAATCTTTAGTGGGTACTAAGATTATTTTTACAAATAGATGTTCTTCATGCTAAATGTAAATTAGCCTTCCAAAATTGGTGAACAAGGGTTATATTTCTTGCAACTGTTCAGCTCTCTATTTTCACATTTTGTGTCCCTGTTTGCCCATGATTAAACCTGCCTTTTCACATGCCTATTTCAGACATAGCTTCACATTTCTGTCCCTGCTTTTCTGTCATTGCCATGTTTAGGCCTACCTTCTTACTTGTGTCTCTGCTTGCTTATATTTGGACCGATCTTCCCACTTGCCATGTTAAGACCTACCTTCACACTTGCCATGTTAAGACCTACCTTCCCACTTGCCATGTTAAGACCTACCTTCACACTTGCCATGTTAAGACCTACCTTCTCACTTGCCCATGTTAAGACCTACCTTCTCACTTTCCATGTTTAGACCTACCTTCCCACTTGCCATGTTTAGACCTACCTTCCCACTTGTCATGTTAAGACCTACCTTCACACTTGCCCATGTTTAGACCTACCTTCACACTTGCCATGTTTAGACCTACCTTCACACTTGTCATGTTTAGACCTACCTTCACACTTGCCCATGTTTAGGCCTACCTTCTCACTTGCCCATGTTAAGACCTACCTTCTCACTTTCCATGTTTAGACCTACCTTCCCACTTGCCCATGTTTAGACCTACCTTCCCACTTGTCATGTTAAGACCTACCTTCACACTTGCCCATGTTTAGACCTACCTTCACACTTGTCATGTTTAGACCTACCTTCTTACTTGTCATGTTTAGACCTACCTTCCCACTTGTCATGTTAAGACCTACCTTCACACTTGCCCATGTTTAGACCTACCTTCACACTTGTCATGTTTAGACCTACCTTCACACTTGCCCATGTTTAGACCTACCTTCACACTTGCCCATGTTTAGACCTACCTTCACACTTGCCCATGTTTAGACCTACCTTCACACTTGTCATGTTTAGACCTACCTTCACACTTGCTCATGTTTAGACCTACCTTCTCACTTGTCATGTTTAGACCTACCTTCTCACTTGTCATGTTTAGACCTACCTTCACACTTGCCCATGTTTAGGCCTACCTTCACACTTGTCATGTTTAGACCTACCTTCTCACTTGCCATGTTTAGACCTACCTTCACACTTGTCATGCTTAGACCTACCTTCACACTTGCCCATGTTTAGACCTACCTTCACACTTGTCATGTTTAGACCTACCTTCCCACTTGCCATGTTTAGACCTACCTTCACACTTGCCCATGTTTAGACCTACCTTCACACTTGTCATGTTTAGACCTACCTTCCCACTTGCCATGTTTAGACCTACCTTCACACTTGCCATGTTTAGACCTACCTTCACACTTGTCATGTTTAGACCTACCTTCACACTTGCCCATGTTTAGACCTACCTTCACACTTGCCATGTCTAGACCTACCTTCACACTTGCCATGTTTAGACCTACCTTCACACTTGCCATGTTTAGACCTACCTTCACACTTGTCATGTTTAGACCTACCTTCACACTTGCCCATGTTAAGACCTACCTTCACACTTGCCATGTTTAGACCTCCCTTCCCACTTGTCATGTTAAGACCTACCTTCACACTTGCCATGTTTAGACCTCCCTTCCCACTTGTCATGTTAAGACCTACCTTCACACTTGCCATGTTTAGACCTACCTTCACACTTGTCATGTTTAGACCTACCTTCACACTTGCCCATGTTTAGACCTACCTTCTCACTTGTCATGTTTAGACCTACCTTCACACTTGCCCATGTTTAGGCCTACCTTCACACTTGTCATGTTTAGACCTACCTTCTCACTTGCCATGTCTAGACCTCCCTTCACACCTGCCATGTTAAGACCTACCTTCACACTTGCCATGTTTAGACCTCCCTTCACACTTGCCATGTTTAGACCTACCTTCACACTTGCCATGTTTAGACCTACCTTCTCACTTGCCATGTTTAGACCTACCTTCTCACTTGTCATGTTAAGACCTACCTTCTCACTTGCCATGTTTAGACCTACCTTCTCACTTGCCATGTTAAGACCTACCTTCCCACTTGTCATGTTTAGACCTACCTTCTCACTTGCCATGTTTAGACCTACCTTCACAGTTGCCATGTTAAGACCTACCTTCCCACTTGTCATGTTTAGACCTACCTTCTCACTTGCCATGTTTAGACCTACCTTCACACTTGCCCATGTTTAGACCTACCTTCCCACTTGCCATGTTAAGACCTACCTTCACACTTGCCCATGTTTAGACCTACCTTCACACTTGCCATGTTTAGACCTACCTTCTCACTTGTCATGTTAAGACCTACCTTCACACTTGCCCATGTTTAGACCTACCTTCACACTTGCCCATGTTTAGACCTACCTTCACACTTGCCCATGTTTAGACCTACCTTCACACTTGCCATGTTAAGACCTACCTTCACACTTGTCATGTTTAGACCTACCTTCCCACTTGCCATGTTAAGACCTCCCTTCACACTTGTCATGTTTAGACCTACCTTCACACTTGCCCATGTTTAGACCTCCCTTCACACTTGTCATGTTTAGACCTCCCTTCCCACTTGCCCATGTTTAGACCTACCTTCTCACTTACCCATGTTTAGACCTACCTTCCCACTTGCCATGTTAAGACCTACCTTCACACTTGCCATGTTTAGACCTACCTTCTCACTTGCCCATGTTTAGACCTACCTTCTCACTTGCCCATGTTTAGACCTACCTTCACACTTGCCCATGTTTAGACCTACCTTCACACTTGCCATGTTTAGACCTACCTTCACACTTGCCCATGTTTAGACCTACCTTCACACTTGCCATGTTTAGACCTACCTTCACACTTGCCAGGTTTAGGCCTCCCTTCTCACTTGTCATGTTTAGACCTACCTTCCCACTTGCCATGTCTAGACCTACCTTCACACTTGAGTCCCTGTTTGACAAGTCCAAACAGCATCTCCCCACAGAAGTCACAGAAGTGAGGTGACTTGTAGGAATGGACAAACAGCAAGTGCGGTCGGATCTGGAGCTCCTCCATAGTGGCCTGGGCTAAAATGAAAAAGTCAGACATGAGTATGGAGCTGCCGGGTTGCATCTGAAGAAATAGTGATTGACAAAAACAAATGGAAAAGATGACTTGTTTTGATCACACAGCTGGAGGCAGCAACTAAATTGCTTGAAAAAGAAACATCTTTTCCACATCATACAATATTTTGCATATGAACAAGATTCATTGAAGTGAGTATCTTCTCAAAACAAACAAGGTGGAAACAAATTCCCAGTCTGTTTTTGGATACAGATGAGATGGAAGCAATTGGCTTGGCTTTTTGAGGGGATACAGACAAGGTGGGAACAGCTTCCCAGTTTCTTTTTGGATACAAATTGGAAACTAGTTCCAAGTCTTTTCAGGATACAGACATGGTTGAGACAACTTCGCAGCCTCTATTCTCCACATGGGTAGAATGTTTGAAGCCCATTGATACTGCTGGAATATTGCTAAAAGCAGCGTAAAACCCAGCTCACTTACTCATTCACTCTAACAGTGAGGGTAAATTTCATGAAAATTGTTGGTATATACTTTGTTATAATCCAAACGTGGCTCCCAAAGGAGATATCGCTTGGGTGAGATCAAGCGATATCTACACTCATGTTGATATATTTGATATCAAAAGACACTCAGGTGAGATTCTCTATTTCTTCTGTTTGTAAAAAGATGATGGTGCCCCTTGCCATACAGACAAGAAGAAAATCGGTCATCTTGAAACATTGTGTGCTGTATCATGGCCCCTATCCTCCATTGTTACCAGTACAATTCAACACATTTTCAGAGTCCAAGTGATCTTCACGGCCACAGTCGAGCTATGACAAAATAATTGAGCCTCTTCTGGATTGACACTTACAAAACAGTTTCACGGTACAAGTGTTAACCTACCCTCAAGGTACAAAGTATATTAACAGTTCAAGACCAATGTAATGTTCTCCAATGATTTGTTTGTTTGTTGTTTAACGCCGCACTCAGCAATATTCCAGCTATATGACGGCAGTCTGTAAAAAATCAAGTCTGGACCAGACAATCCAGTCATTGGTATCATGAGCATTGCTCCACACAATTGGGATACGATGACATGCATCAACCAAGTCAGCGAACCTGACCACCCGATCCTGTAAGTCTCCTCTTACAACAAGCATAGTCCCCCTTTACGACAAGCATAGGTTGCTGAAGACCAAATCTACCCCAGAACTTCACGGGCCAATTATTTCCCAAGAAGTTACCCTCATCAAATTAACATTCGGTATCCTGTTAATCTGTTCTATAAATAATTAGTACCAGCCAAGCATTATATCATAGAAGCTTTGCCTCCATTGTCACTTCAACTGACCTTGACAGGATTTCTGTTGATCAGTCAACAACCTGGACAGCACTATGACTTGGTCAGTTCCAGGCCACAAGTTACATCACATATAACCATCTCTCTATATTAATTTCCAACAAGGACACAATCATATCACTATATTTTGAAATTAAGACCAAAAAAAATTAACTTATTCCATGTAATAAGGCCCCCGCTCTAATAAGCGCCCACGGCGACATTTGCAAAGATATTGGCTAGTGAACAATTATGAATAGCACCCCTTCCGATTGATCAATGTACACAAGACTTATTTATTCATGTATAATACGCACTCGTGTGTTATATGCACCCTTAATTATGGGCAATTAAAGTCTGGAAAAAAACAGTATCTATCTGTCGTACATAAACATTTCAGGATGTCAGCATAAACCATGAAATTTATCTTTCAACACTTATGAGAGACCCTTATTTCTAATTATGAGAGCGCCCTGGGCGCTTATTACATCGAATACAGTAACTACTTCATTTGATAGTCAATAAGTCTAGTTTTTATAACAAGTACTATTGATAATAATCTTATAACAATATTATTTTTTTCAATAATATTTGTTTCCTGTTCAGTGTACCCATGGTACATTGCTGCAATAGAGGCAAGCAGACATCATATACACAGTTGTAGCAGATATTATATGATCTATCACAGGATCGGGGCATGCAGTGACAACCTATGACAACTTGACATTTCTGTGAACAAAGGAAATGTTGAATCTGTTTAACCACATTATAAATGAATGCACTTGAGCTGCATGGCTTCATTCGAGTAACTCGTACACCTTCCAGGCAGAAACAGAACTGAAATTAACCTAACGTACTTAATACAGGGTCTGTTATCTCTCTGTTTGACCCAGAGTGGCTTGTTTTGATTCTTTATTCAAGGCAGATCTGTCCACAAACATTGTTCATCTCAAGATTCCTACTGCCAACAGTACCTGTAGACTGATAGAGCTCCTCCACAACAAGTGGGTGGGCAGGCCAGCCGATGACAATGGAGATATAGTCTGCTGATGTACACAAGTGTCTCGTCAACCAGCTGGGGCATATGGAAGTCACAGAGTGACCTTGTCACATACTGCAAGAGTGCAGAGGGTCAATCTCACCTGGGTGTGACCTGCTAATTGCCAGACTGTGTGAAGTCTGAAGCTGAAATACTTTTATTCTCTCACTTGTTTCGTGTATTATTTGCCCTGAACTAAAATGCACTATGACAAACTTTGAAATGTAAGTGTAAAGTAAGTGTCTAAATCTGGCTGTGTTATCTTGGATTCCCACCTATTTTTTTCATATTCAGTTCAGAAATTTGATTTACCTTGAAAACGTCTGACACAAAGAAAAAGACAAAATGGCTTTTTTTATTACTAGTATTGGTGAACTATATTTGAGGTAACTGCTAAAAGCAGTCTTATATTTTTTTATTCTTACAACTGTCAGCGTTGCAACAGTATTGGTCAGCTATACACTTTCTTCAACAGTATTGGTCAGCTATACACTTACTTCAACAGTATTGGTCAGCCATACACTTACTTCAACAGTATTGGTCAGCTATACACTTTCTTCAACAGTATTGGTCAGCCATACACTTACTTCAACAGTATTGGTCAGCTATACACTATTTTCAACAGTATTGGTCAGCTATACGCTTTCTTCAACAGTATTGGTCAGCTATACACTTTCTTCAACAGTATTGGTTAGCTATACACTTTCTTCAACAGTATTGGTCAGCCATACACTTACTTCAACAGTATTGGTCAGCTATACACTTTCTTCAACAGTATTGGTCAGCTATACACTTTCTTCAACAGTATTGGTCAGCTATACACTTTCTTCAACAGTATTGGTCAGCCATACACTTACTTCAACAGTATTGGTCAGCTATACACTATCTTCAACAGTATTGGTCAGCTATACGCTTTCTTCAACAGTATTGGTCAGCTATACGCTTTCTTCAACAGTATCGGTCAGCTATACACTTTCTTCAACAGTATTGGTCAGCTATACACTATCTTCAACAGTATTGGTCAGCTATACACTATCTTCAACAGTATTGGTCAGCTATACGCTTTCTTCAACCGTATTGGTCAGCTAAACACTTTCATCAACAGTATTGGTCAGCTATACGCTTTCTTCAACAGTACTGGTCAGCTATACACTTTCTTCGACAGTATTTTTCAGCTATACACTTACTTTAACAGTACTGGTCAGCTATACACTTTTTTCGACAGTATTGGTCAGCTATACACTTAATTTAACAGTACTGGTCAGCTCATAATACACTTACAGCAACAGGTTCAGGTTTATGGGGGGCGGTCGGGTAGCCTAGTGGTTAAAGCGTTCGCTCGTCATGCCGAAGACCCGGGTTCGATTCCCGACATGGGTACAATGTGTGAAGCCCATTTCAGGTGTCCCCCGCCGTGATATTGCTGGAATATTGCTAAAAGCGGCGTAAAACCATACTCACTCACTCACTCAGGTTTATGGTTCAAGGTTTGTCAGCACTAACTCGTAAGAATAAGTTGGTGTTCATTAAAACAACAAGCAGCCTACTTTGAGCTGATACATAAGTGACATATCAGAACAGCCGCGACAAAAAAATGTGACATGAGTAAGTGAGTGAGTTGGGTTTAATCCTGTTTTGAACACTATTTCAGTCATGTTATGCCATCTCAGCCTAATGTGAGTGAGTGAGTGAGTGAGTGAGTGAGTGAGTGAGTGAGTGAGTGAGTGAGTGAGTGAGTGAGTGAGTGAGTGAGTGAGTGAGTGGGTGGGTGAGTGAGTGGGTGAGTGAGTGTGAGGAATCGAACCCGGGTCTTCGTCATGACGAGCCAACGCTTTAACCATGAGGCTTTCCCACCACCCCTCCTTATGTGAAAGGAAATCCTGAGTGATGCAGGTCTTAGACATTTACCACTTTGGTAGCAAAATAAATTGAACTTCAAGTATATCTTGGGTCAGATTGTGTAATGGCAGAAACATTCCCGATTTAATGTAACACCGTTGCCAAAATCATCCATTTTAAGTATCAATTTCACTGTTCTCCAGCTTCGGGGAGTTGTTGAAAATGTGAAAGGCGGCAGAATGTCAGATGAATGGAATATGGACACACTGATATGAATCTAATTTGATCACAACCACAACACAACATTGTTAATATCAGTTTGGTCAATAATACAGCCAGTACTGCACGTATCGTATCTACGTGTAAATCTCAGGAAGTGAGTTGCATGTGCACAAGAGACACATTAGTCAGTCTATAAACCCTTTTAACCCTATGACCTATGACCTTTGACCTTTGACCTTTGACCTTCATGTACCCATGAACCTCATGCAGAAACAAAAGGTCATCTTTGTCATTTAAATTCTTCATGAATAGCCTTGTAAGATATTGCTTTAGACAATTATTTCCCAGTTTTTACTTGGCAGGATCGTTAAAAAGAAACATGTAAGACTTACAAGATGATGAAATGCCTTTAGAATGTTTTGACCTTCATGTTGGTCTGACACATAACAAATGCAACTGCAACATATTTCTTGACAGTTGTTGACAAGATAATTGTGTTTTATGTTGTTGCTTCAGAATCCAATTAACAAGGATATACAAATTCAACATTGTCCTAAATTTTGACAGATCAAACATTTTAC